CCGGCCCCCCCCCCCGAGGGTCTACCCAGGAGGGGATCCCTCTGCCCCCAGCTTCCACAACCCCCTGGGGGGCAACTTCGGGCAGAGACCGCAGCCTCACGAACCCCCCTCAGCGCCGGACATGGGACCGCGCCCCCCCCCGAGGGTCTTCCCAGGAGGGGATCCCTCCGCACCCAGCTTTCACAACCCCTTGGGGGGCAACTTCGCACAGAAACCGCAGCACGGGTATGGTGGCCCGCCGCCACCGGGGGGGGCTGGATACCAGGTGCCACCGCCCCCTGCTAGCAGCTCTGGCTATCCGAGCATCCCCCCACGAAACTCGACCCCTCCTCCGGTTTTGCCGTCGGTTCCGTCAAGAGCTCCGCAGCCTGTGGGAGGGGGGCAGAGTTACTTCAGTGGGGTGCAGATGCCGAACCCCGTCCCGGGGTACACCCCGACGCCCGACAGAGTGTTGGAAGCCCAAAAGCTCGGAAGGTTTGCGGTCAGCGCGCTAGGATTCGATGATGTGCAGCCAGCGATTAAGTACCTGACGCAAGCGCTGACGCTCTTGATGGTGCCCAATGCGGACATAGGAGAGATAAAGTAGAACTATTGTCATCTTCAAGTGGGCACTCCGGTAGATAGTCCACCAAAACTTGCACAGTTGCTGGCGGTTTTAAACCCTTTGCTGTACAGACGGTCAGTATTTGGCCGGCCTATGTGAGATTGCAACTGAGTGTAGGAAGGTGGATCGACTTTCTAATACCCCTTGTGTTACAATCAAGGCAATGAACTCAGATAAGTCCCTGGTGAGCCATGTACTCGCGACCCGCATTCTTTTGACACCTAATGGTGTGAGGATTTATCCATTCAGAATCAAATTGGAGAGACTGCCTAATTGCAGTCATGCATGAGTGATCATGAGCCTCTGACCGTGCAGCCAATCCATGATCGACGGTGCATCTAGCAGGCGATGGTGCCAGGCCCTAGGGTTACAGTCAATTCCGCATGACGCGTCGAGACCACTGGCATGCCCTTAATGAATATGTGAGCTCGAATTGTCCCCGTGCGCGTCTGGGACCGTGACTGCAACGGCTGCATATTGAACCGGGCGCGCCGCATGTGCAGAAGAGGCGGCCTACATACAATATAGTATAGCTGCAGCTTCAAACCGCCAGGAGTCGGCCGCCCGCGGGCCGGGCCGAACAAGCTTCGCTCGCATGGCGGGCGCGCGCGGCCGCGCGCCCGTCGCACATATGTATGCCAGCAGGCCGTATGTATACTACGATGGCCACAGTATAATAAAATCTTACCAAGTACGTACCGGCAACAGGCTTGAACGCATGCATGGATATGGATTGGCCTCGAGCCTGTGCATGAAACGTATAGGTATACCGTCAATATAATTGATTCAAACAATCAAACTGTCTGATCAATCGAGGAGTGGAGCTAGCACGTCGATAAATTATGTACGTAGGTGTGTATATGCATCATGTGCAGGATCTCAACCAGGCTCGAGCGAGGCTGCACGAGTAAACATATATTGCATGTACGTTGAATATAGATATAAGTTAAAAACAAGTAATAATCTGACAATCGAGCCTGGATCCAGGCTCACGAGCCGCTCTGCAATGGTCCCTCTTGTGTCCGGTCTGATTGATGTATCTCCAGATCCATAATGCATGCGGAGGGCATATCGGCACGACCGGTGTTGCATCGCAAGTACATTGATGCAAGCTAGAATACAAGGATGGTAAAGGTACCTATAACGTACTCCAATCTGCAACATGCAAGTCTTTCGAGCTGTTGCGGACCGTTACTCTTTGACTTTTCCTTATAGATCCAAGATTATACATCTCGTTGCTATCTGCGCAGGCTCTGCTTGTATTTTACAGAGAATAGAAGTTTGTGAGAAACTGATTATCTTCTTTTCTATCTTTTTGTGACCATATTATAAATTGGCTTTTATCTATGACTCAATTTTCAAATGATAACATCTATTATAGACCACCTTGACCGCGTAAGGATATCTGTATCGTCAGCGTGCATCTGATTAAGCGGTATCTTTGCGGCTCCAATATAAAGCCGCGCGGTCGCTGATCTCTATGCGTCGTCCCTATGTTCACTTGGTCCGATCCAATCCGGCGGTCCTGGAGGCTCGTCAACCATGACGCCTTCTACGAATGTATATGTACCCTCCGAAGTCTCCCCTTCCCCCTCGTCTTCTTCAGGCCAGCCCGCCAAATGGTGGTCTCCTGCATCGGCTCCGTCGATGTGTTGGTGGAACCCCAGCCCACCTACGGCTGAGTGATTTGACACGGCGGGGCCTTCCGTTCCGTGCGGCAGCGACGGCGGTTGCCCGGTCTGCTGGGACCCCGAGGCGCCCGTGTGGTCTCCGTTGAGGAGACGCGAGAGAAGAGACTCGACTTGGATGGCGGTGGCGTCGCGGTTGTTCTTGTTCAATGTTAGGACAGCTGCAGGGATAGATACACAAAAGGTTTTAATCTTCTCAACACCCAACCCAGCACGTGACTGTGTTCATGTAAAGAACAAGAAAGTCAGGACTTCCCGGCCGTCTGTCCACGTACTAGCTCCAGCCGCAGAGAGTCGACGGCAAAATGCAAGCAATCTGCTTTCGTGGCAGCCTGATCACGCGAACTGATCAAAGGAGCGAGCAGCCGAGCAATCAATCATAAAGCCAATCTTCTTCTCGTGCTGTATCACGCCTACGCTGCTCTTCCGTTGGAGCCGACTCCAACCACGAACTTGCTGATCAAGCAATAACACGCAGGATCAGACAGACAGGCAGCGATAGACAAACTTTGTAACCATACCTGTGTCGGGCCGCTGCTTGATGTCCTCGACGAAGTCGATCGTATGCCGGTACCGAGGGGCAGGGAGGGAGCCGAACACCTGAGCGCGAAATGGGGAAAACGAATCACTTATAGCGGCCAGCCGCTGTAGCAACAAGCGCATCAAATCTTTCATCCCTGTGCATTGTGTGGCAGAAGCCCAGGCGAATGAGAAGCTGGGGCTACTTATGCCCAAACGGACGTTCTCAGTGAGTCACGCTTCCGGGAACGTAAAGCTGCGAATCTGATTATATTGAAAAGAAGAGAATTCCAAGCACCACAGCCTCGCCTTACTGTGTATGACACTTGCTCGGGCACCAGGATTTGGAAGCGCTCTGGCTGCATAATCAGAATTGTGTCTTCAATCTCTTTCCTATGCGGAAAGAGGTCAGACGAAACGAACAACTATGGGGCAGATTCAAAATTGAGCACTTACCACTGTGTCCGGGGAAGCAAGGAGAGCTGTGACGGCGTCCTGGAATGGTCGGCTGCACAGCTCCAACCGGCCGACCTGTGCAGACAGAAAAAGAAAAGCTCGAAAAGAGTAAAGAGCACAACTAGATGTGGATCACAAGCAGCGGTGGATAAAACTTTGTAACGGCTGAATCGTGTGCCGCAACAGGAGTGGGTTCGGTGGGCACCGAAATTTCCATCGTCAAAAATCTAGATGACTGGTGCAGCTACGACGGTGACTACTTTCGAATCGGACGAAATACGCGACAGTGAATCGCGTAAAGCTAGCTCTAACCCGAGCACGCTGAGTTTCAAACGCAACAATCTGTCTCCTACCAGTCCAAGGGGCAACAAGCCAGGTGAAATTGACGGGTCAACGCCCGCAAATACAATAGAAGGTAACACTGACACGTAAGGTTAAGTTGCAAAGTAGGAAGGAGAGCAATGCCTTGAAATGGAAGTCTCGTTGACCAGACCAAGCAGGACGTCCGATGACTTTTCTATCTACCATTGGAGACCGCTCAGAACACTCCCTCTGTTGACCACCCGGTGAGGCGCTCGTAACAAATGACATTGATTACATTCTTAAAACTAGACGTTACTCACCTCGTCGATGACGTGGAGTTTGATGTTCGGGCTGGGCGTGAGGGTTGGCATCACGACCTTCTCAAATTCGTCGAGCGCAACGTAAAACTTCCCGACCTGCGCGAGTAGCACGGCCCAAACGGACGAGCGTCTGGTAAGATGAGGTGTTTGGAAGAACGAGTAGGATTATTCGAAGGCCCAGGACGAATTGCCACACAAGCACGCAGTTTCCCCTCCGTCTGCATTTCACGTGTCTTTCCGGAAGCCGCCTTGCGAAGTGCATGGCAGAGAGTGACTGCCTGGACGCTAAAATTCCATTGAGCATGAAAGAGTGCGTAGAATTCGATGTTGTCACGAGGAAGGCAACCTTTCGTTTCCGTACACAGATGCATCTGAAGCGACATCAAAACGCGACTGGTGACTGGTGACAGGCAAGGTCTTGCTTTGCGGTTCTTACGAATCTGGTGACGCTTCAGCCAGGTAGCCTGTCATACAGTCGTCGCATGCTGGCCCAGACAACATGCCTTCGTCCAAAGTCGTCATGACTTTGTTTCACAGAATATGTGAGGATATCTGATCGGAAAACGACTGTCTCTTACCTTCTCTACACGATTCCCCTGCCACTTCTTCACTCGGCATAGTGGGGCCGTTTCTCCGGTCAATGTGACTGCCACACAATTAGGGCACGCTCAGTACATCGAAAGCATAACTCTCGTCGAACCGAATGGAAGGCAGCTGCTACATACAAAGTCCAGCGGAAGTGCCAACTCGGGTCGAGCAGAGAACATATAAGGATTGCCAACCAACAGACCACTTGCAAGCATTCTGCCGATCTGCGAGTGGAGCACGTGCAAGCTGAGAAATGATTGACGAAAAAGCGCAAGGAACTCTCTGGGAGCTGTAGCGACACACACCGACGTCATACCCAATCTTCTCATTGGTTTCGGGGGACCGCGCCTCTACGGTGTAGAATCCAGCAATGAGGTGCTGGGGCAACTTCCCAGCAACGTTCAGCACCAGCCTGCAAATGAAGGCATGAGCTGCCGTTTGTGTTGTTGACAGCGACAATTCTGGCGCATGTTCCATCGAAGATAAGGATTGCCTTTATGTTGTGAAACTCCTGCAGAATGAATGTGTCTATCTGCTGCCTATATAGTTGGTGCAAGGAAGCTGCCAATGTTTGCCACTCAGTGATGCTATTCCGGATTTCTAAGTCCTTCTTGTCAACTGTTGATAATTCCACTACAATCAAGCTATGTGGCCTGCTGGATCCGGTTGTGAATTGTTCCACCAGCAAATCCATAGATGACCAGACTATTCATCTACAGAGCCGTCAAAGAAGAAGGTGCTACCCTTCCCTTGAAATTCTCGTATCTTCCAACCAGACAACCATGTACAATTTTAGATTATGACAATCGCAGTCAATAGAGGACAATTGCTTGACAGCAGAAGCAAGTCTTACACTTGGAACGAGCACACTTACGAGGTCTTTCCAACCCCAGGCTGTCCTGTGACAAAGACATTCACGTTCGTTGAGCCAGCGGGCGGCAGCACCACTTCGCTCATCAGGCTCCAGTAGCAGCAGCTGGAGGCTGCCTCTCCAGCTTGGTGGATGAGCCCTCCAACGCTGGCTCAACTTCTTCCCTCTCTAGTTCACAGCTCCAGCTTGAAGCAGAACGCTCGTTTGCTACGGACAATTAGAGCCGTAGCCGACTGTGCTCAACCATTGAGGGGGTTTGGGAGGCGAGGTTCTGCTGCGGCAGCTACAAAGAAGGATGGAGCTTTACCTGTATGCAACGAGAATGGAATGAGGCTTCTAACAGTTGCAAGAGATACTCAAAAAGCCAGAATCGCTCTCCGCTTTCTTGCAGGAGACTCCATGTGGATACTGTTGGTATTCAGAGAAAAGTAAGGTCAAGGATTTCAATCGCCAGCCTCGCCTAAAGTTGTGTTCTCAGCAGCACAAGCAAAGGTTGTGCTGGGGACAGTAGCTACCGGATCGCTTGTGCTTGCCAATTCTGCATATGAAATGCTTGGACTGTCAGGAGCTTTCTGTTGAGGGAGGGCTGGATCTCCATATCAATACATCAATAAGAACGAGCCTTACAGCCGTACAGCCTCTTCCCCCAAGTTGCTACCTTCAAGCCATGTTTCCCTTCATCACTCCACTTGACAGAGTTACAGCGTTTTATTCAAATTGAGAGTGAGTGTTCATCGCTTCTGGTTCTCAACACTTGTCTACTACCATGGAGTCGATTCCATTGGTGGTGTTTGTTCAGATATGCAGAAGATTGATTAGTTCCAAGCGACTTTCGCGCTGAATACCTCCTCGATGCTCCATCAGATGGTGCATCGAGCCCAAGCTAATCAAGAATGATGATGCAGGTCTATAAATGACGAACTCACACATGGTTCTCCCATCGTGAACTTTGATAAAGTAGAATGGTATCATTTTGGTTCAAAAACTTTGAATGGATTGCACCACTTTCTTAGCGGCTTAAGAGAAACCCTTGACAACATCTTCTAGGAAATTGTCGACATTTCAAAGCTTCAACAAGCAAGCTTCATTGTGAAAGTGCCAGCTTTCAAGATCTCTCAGGTGATTGTAATGCTGATCAGGTTTTTCAACCATTCAGAACTTGGAAGCAAACGGCACTCACCAGTATTTTGGTTGCAGAATATATGTGCCACAACCACGAACGCTGTAGAGAAGTTGCTTTGACAGCCTTTGATAGTTGCAACAGAGCATTGATTCCAATGGATCTCTAGAACATTCCGCGACCCCCCCGGCTCAGCAAATTGCTCCTTGCTCAGGAACGAATAAAGAGCTATGTCCTTACTTCCCAAAGATGAGTCTTATCTAACATCAGCAACATTGTGCAGCCGCCTCTGATCTCAATCTGCAATTGCTTGCGCTCACAAAAGCCTGGAAAGACGAGAGAAAGCTGGCCCCCAAACAAAACTTCTAAGTTTCAGAACTTTTCACGACATTTTGTCCAGTCATGCTATGCAGTGCATGTGCGGAGCGCGCGCGCCGTCAGAACATTGCGGTATGGGGGGTTCGCTTCTGAGTCGGCTCTCGGGAAAACTTTGCACCCCCCCGGGAAGCGATTCCGTTGAATGCAAAATGTGCAATGATATGGTGAGCCTTGCATCATGCACTCCCTCATCATTGCTAGGCATCAAAGGAAGGGAGCAGCCGGCCCGCATTGCATTGGAAGTTGAACGGCATTGCTCTTTTGAGCTCACTCGGTTGGGACAAGTTACTAATAGTTTTACAGGAAGCCGCTCCCATCTTCTGCTCTGGCATTGAAGGAGGGCTTGCCAAGTTGGAAACAAGCGGTCTTCGGACAGATGCCAAGTGGTACGTGTCTGAGGGGACTGACAGGAAATGCACCACCCCTTCATCGCGCACCGAGCGGCGCACACCGCTCAAATTACCACATTGCAGGAGCCAATGCATCAGAAGGCGGTCTGCTAAGAGCCGCCACTCATTCTGCAGGAATCAGATCCAGCATTGCGTCTAAAAGCACAATTGTCAGGTCACGGCGGTCGTTCTTTGTCTCACAACCGCAGAGCACAAGTAGTGCACATTTATTGAATTTTAAGCAATATTCAGGTTTTTGTCCTCCTCATCCATCCAGTGCCCCCTTACGCATAACCACTAGTGCCATAGATCTTTCCACCGGCGTTGCTCAGTCCATAGAGCAGCGAAGCTTAGAATCAGAGCAATCAAATCGCTCGATGGCAGAAGTAGATACAGATGAGGCCGAAAGCAGCCCCCATAACGAGCCCTTTGCAGATTACATATCAGATGCTGTGGACAAGTTGAGGCCGCAGTTCGAGCAGGTAGACCGGACGGTGGCTGTAAATCTGCGGAGAGTCCTAGACGCATACCGAGAGGCGCGAGTGGGGTCGCACCATCTGACTGGCGCAACGGGCTACGGGCACAATGACGCTGGGGGAAGAGAGGCGTTAGACACGTGAGCTTGGTTTGTGTATAAGATGACCCGCACAAACACTGAGCAAGCTTGATTCTCTGAATCCGTCCGGGGGCTAACGTTGGCTTTTGTGGTAGTCAAAACGGGCTTAGACTACACCTCAATGAGCTGGAAGAGTGGTGCACTGTCAAACTGGACAAATGGCCAAGCTTTCTTTTCTACCCACTTGTTACATCATGTTGCGTACGAAGCGTCCTGGTTCTAGTAGCTGTCGCGCGCGCAGGGATTGGTGCTGGTCTCGGTGTGGCAACTTCTTCCTTCCACTGCCACTGATGTGAGAGAACCTTCCCGCATGACTCTAGTACAGTACTCTCGGGCAAGGTCTCCTTTCGTCGTAAAGGGCCTCATCTGGGGCTGGTTAGCAGGTGATTGAGAAGTGTGGGAACGTGGTTAAAAAGTGACGCGGCTTTGCTTGCAGGGCCTTTGCACGAATTGTGGGGGCGGAGGCTGCCATCGTGCGGTCACAATTCTTCTCTGGGACTCATGCAATTGCTGCGGCGCTGTTTGCGGTCCTGAGGCCTGGGGATGAGCTCCTAGCCGTGGCAGGTCAGTGAATGCTTTCGCGCATTGTGCGCCTTTTTCGTTTGTTTGGCAGGACTGTACTGCTGTTTGTCTCGAGGTTTTCGATGGCAATATTTGCGCACTTGAAGAAGAAGCAGATGTCTTCCTCCTCCTTGTTCTGGTCATGACGCATGCGGAAGTTTGAGACCACTGTTCGTCCTACGTCGCTGGCGAAGATAATCTGGTCAGGATGTTTGCAACGAAAGAAAGTCTGCTCATAGCGGTGACACGCCCCCTGTTACTAACCGAACTTTCCAATGTAGCTCTTATCTTTCTCCCCGCTAGTTCCCAGGTGGCCCTTAAGACAGCCTCGAGGAAGTGGTCGACCTGCCGGCACACGGCCACACAGCTCACGTCCACAATATGTAGCGGCCAAACGCCCCTTCCACGAAGATTAGCTCCCGAATTGTGCCCCGCTCTACTTCGCAGGTGCCCTTACGACAAATTTGAAGATGTGATCGGCCTGCGCGGCCCGCCCGCTCATGGGCCCTCGCCGAGTTCGGCGTTTCGTACGGAGTGCTTCCACTTAGTCCCTGAGGGAGAGCTCAATCTTGCCCGCTCGTTTCATTCACGAGCTGCCAATCAGCTCCCAAGTTTCGCCCCATCCTAGTTTCCAGGTGCCTTACGACACCCTCAAAGAAGTGATGTACCTCCCCAGCACACTTCGCTATCATCTCAACCGCCTCCTCCTTTCTCGCATTGAACAGATGCCCCCCTCGCCACTAACTTACAGAATCCATCCCTGATTCTCGCCCCACTCTGCTTTCCAGGTGCCCCTTACGACACCCTCGAAGAAGTGATCGGGCTGCGCGGCACGCCCGGCCACGGATCCCTGGCAGAGTTCGGCGTCTCGTACCGGGTGCTTCCGCTTACCCCCGGGGAAAAGCTGGATTTCGCCGCCCTCGAAACGGCGGTCGGAAGCGGGACGAAGTGCGCGCTGATCCAGCGGTCGTGCGGGTATTCATGGCGGGAAACGTTGACAATGGAGGAGATCGAACGGGCGGTGAACATTATCAAGCGGCAGAATCCGAAGTGTGCGGTGGTCGTGGATAATTGCTATGGGGAGTTTGTGGATATAAAGGAACCGACGGCGGGTGAGTCGGCTCTTTACATGCGTGCGACTCTGAAACGAAGAACGTTTAGGGCGGGCCGGACTCCAGCATTGAATCTGTGTAGCCTTCAGAGCTTCGAGACCTGGGCCAAGGGGCTGACCTACCGGGGGGGATCCCAGTACGACACTGACGCGAGATAAGCAGAGACTTTCGTCTTTCTGGCGACTAATTTGACCGCTCCAATATTGGACCTGAGCACGAACTCAACTTGCGATCCCTTGCCCTTCCAACCCAAACCAAACGGGTTCATGTATCTGTTTCCAGCGAACGGTCTTCGTCTGCTCTGCAGTTGGCGCCGACTTGATTGCCGGAAGCTTGATCAAGAACCCCGGGGGTTCGATCGCGCCGGGAGGGGGCTACGTGGCAGGGCGAGAGGACCTTGTCGACGCGGCCGCTGCCCGGTTGAGTGCCCCGGGCATCGGTCGGGACGCCGGAGCGACGCCCTCGTCCGTGCAGAGGCTCATGCTACAGGTGGGACGGCAAAGTTCCGCAAAGCGGGCACAAGATTCTGTAACGACAGTCGGCATTGTTGAGCAGACTCCCCAACGCTTGCGACTGGTCAGAAAGCCTTTTCTCTGGTTTGCCCACTCGGGTGATCTGCGAAGGGTCGGACGAGGTTCCCGTCTCTAGTTTTCAAAGAGGATTGTAGCAATGCAGAGCCCAGTCCTCCCAATCCATTTCCAGACCCCTTCCTGCGCATGCTGGGAGGATTCCATTGAAGCCTTGGGGACACTCCCTTTTGAGGAGAACTTTTGGCCTGCAGCCCAAGGTCTGTGCGGGGCGCAATTAAGCTAGCTGAAAGTACCTAGAAGGGTTTCGTTTAGACAAACGTCTTTCCTGGCAGGGTCTCTTTCTGGCGCCCCCGTTTTTGACACCTGTCCTCCCCGCAGGGCCTGTTTCTGGCGCCCCAAATGGTCGGCAGACCGTTCATTTGTGGCTCGTGCCCTTCTTGCAGGGCCCTTATTTCGAAATCCCATGACACGTGTCGTCCTCGCAGGGCCTGTTTCTGGCGCCCCAGATCGTGGGCGAGGCCGTCAAGAGCTCCTTGCTGCTCGCGGAGGTTCTGAGCGCGGAGGGCTTCGCTACAAAACCTGCCCCGCGCGCGCGTCGGCATGACATCATCCAGGCGGTGCAACTGGGCAGCCGGGAAAAGCTGCTGGCCTTCTGCCAAGCGGTACAGACCATGTGCCCGGTCGGTGCGTACATTCGGCCCACGGCGGGGGCGACCGCAGGTGGGGTTCGAGAGCTTTTAGATCGCCTGAAATTTTGGAAAGAAGCTGCTTGATATCTTTTTGTGGTATGACCGCGTATGTAGCTGGAGGTAGCTGCGAAGAAGACTTGTTTCAGAGCGCCAGCAAGATGTAATTCAGAGCGCCACCGAGAGGCGAGAGTTTGACATTGCTTGGAAAACGCACCGCTGATCAATAAGGCTTGTGCTGGCTGTTGATGACGGTGTTTTCGAGCAGCGAGCTTCGTGCGTTCAAATATTGCACGATGTTTCTCAAACAAGCCCTCACGTTCTTATGCAGGGTATGAATCCGAGGTGGTCTTCGCCGACGGGACGTTTATCGATGGAAGCACGATAGAACTATCTTGCGATGGTCCTCTACGAGAACCGTTCGTTGTCTACTGTCAGGGTGGCACTCACTGGACACATTGGGCCATAGCCTTGGAGGCTGCCGTGACAGCAATGAGGGCACTGGGTCGATAGCTATGCTTTCAGTTTAAGGATGGGGAGAGTTTGCAATGCGTTCCGCATCAAACCGGTCCGAGTATTGTGGCCGCAGGTGTACCGCCCTCGGGGGGCAGCATACATTTTGAGCGAGCTGCAGCGATCGTATAGAGCACTGAGCGAATATCGCCGCAGCTCAGGAGGTGAACTTATTTAACGCATGCCGCCCACCAATGATGCCGGTTTATTTGGGTATTCGAACTAACTGAATGGGTTGTACGATCTCAAAGCGTACAAAAAACTATACAGTCTCATTCCTGATGCAGGATCAATTTCTGGCCAGCCCGTCATGCAGAAATCTGGCACTGTGTGGCCGATGCGGACGGTTCTTCACAAGGCCTCGCGCTGCATGGCCGACCATCACATGGACATGCATGTTGAATTGCCGATTGAAATGAATGATCTAGCTCCGACACATGTGTGCCAACGGCGTATATGTACGTTGGCGGCCGCATATGTTGCCCGCGGGAAAGGCCGTGCGCCAGTGCTGCATGCACATATATGTGTGGGTTCACGCGTACACGTTTGGCCAGCATGCATGATTCGAATTGCTGGTCGGAAAATTAATGTAATATAGTATCGCCACGCCGTGCGCCAGCTGCAGGCTGGTTGGCGGCTTTCATGCACATCACGGGACCGCTACGGTGCAAAATCGGTCCGCGGCAATTTCCGCGGTGCTTATAAATTCCGGTGGTCGGGGCCCGCACAATCGCGACGGTACGAAACTCGGGCAAAAAGCTCCGCATTACGGGCCGATTTGCTGCCGAGGGCGATTTTGGCCGCACCCGGAACTCGGGCAGAGGGCCCGCACGGCAAATTTGAATTGGTACGGCGCCCGGGACAATTTTCCGCGCCGTAGCCCGGTAAACCGCCCGCCACCAATATGCACCGTAGCGGTCCCGTGATGGAGAATCATAGTAGTGCACCAGCCCTTATATTTGAATTCATCTGGATGGATTCCGCTCAAGCCAGCATGCGTGAATGTCCATCATTACAATCGCCCTTCAACTTGTATCATGCAGATGCAAGGCAATCTTTGAGTCACCGTGGAGAGGTCGGGACTATCATGAATGGTCTATCATTACCACTGCACACCAAAGACATGATGCACGACCAACCATACAGTGGATAACCACGACCGGGCAGAGAGTACTGCTTCGAAAATTATCGTGGCAATCTTCTGTAAATTTGTTATAGACTTGACATCTGACCTAGAGCTGTGCTCATAAGGCCTTGCTTATCAAATCTGACATTGATTTTGCACAGACGTAAGTATGATTAGACTGAAGCACGATGTGTTTTAGTTTGAGGCAACAATATTGCCATTGTTTAGAGGCCGCATATTTCGATATTGCCGGGGGCTTTGTCATTCATAAGAGGTTGACCTCCACCCGGTCGTGCCCGGGAGTAAGAAGGGGCAGCCCCGGGAGGCCTGCATAGTGATCCACGACAGCCGCCGGTGGCCGGTTCCTATATACAGTTACCGAAGCCCTTCCCGGCACGGTATTGTTTAGATGTCTCAGCCTTCCATTTCAGCCTTCTTAATTGTGCAGGGGCTAGCTAGCCAGAAGGGAAGCCTCAAGTTAACCGTCAGCCTGACTGGATTTGGTCCATGGATGTCAAAGGGGTGCGCCATTGTGATTGGCTCGATTCACGTGCCCGGTCCAAATCGTCGATAGGAGCACGCGTACGGCTGCATGTCGATTCTTGGCGAGAAGCGATCCCGCCGCGCGCCCTCGGGAACCCTTGCCAACCGATTCTCTGCCGACTATTCCTTTTGAAGCGTTCTTGATGGTTTGACACAGCTATGCCATTTGCAGCTCAGCAAAGGAGAAACAACAAAATCAAAGAGCGTTTTGGTACCCAATGACAGCGGAGATTGGACTATGTCATAGCAGATTGAGCATTGGAAGATAAATCCAGGTTGCGTCCAAAACTCCGGCCATCAGAATGTTAAGCCAGAGGCCCTTTATGTGTACAAGCTCTTGCATGTGATTCACAATCAAAAGACTACCGCCAAATCTAAAGACTGATTATGTGGAAGTACGACGATTTTTGAGCTCTAAGATTTGATCAGAGGCCTACGGCTGCTGTGGCCTCCACAGGCGGGTCTGGCAGCGGAGCGCCGAAGTGCGGTTGTAGGACCTTAGTCATCCCGAAGCCATTGAACCTCTCCTGACCCATCAGCCTTGCCAGCTTGGCGTCCGCTATAATCACCCGCTTATCTGCTGGATCCTGCAGCACGAGTCAAAGAGGCACAGCCTTCAGCTTAGGGTGCAATCCAAAAGTATCTGATCCAGTGCAGACTTGGTTGCTCAAACAAAGAGACACCAGATCAAAAGAAAAGCTTGTCCAGGAGCCGGATCATTACTGCCTGCAGTCAATGAAGTAGTAACCATTTGTTTATTGGACCCATTTGACGTGCTCTGATGCACAAGCGCACAAAGTGGGCCTTTTACTCAGTCAAACAAAGTAGAGAAGAGTCCAGATACAGGGAAATCGTCCAGATTTGCATTAGTTTGGTCAACGCTAGGCTCATCCAGTGGACCAGAGTCAGCGATAATGGCCATCCCAGGCTGCTTCAAAAGAACTCGTAATCAGCACAGCCTTTTAAATTCCTGCTCGACGTGAGCAACTTTCCCTCCAAAAGACTCCGTATGATGCATTGACCTGATGAGCACCACAGCAGACTCGTCGAAGGTCAGGAACAGATCACCGTTCAGAATTGGTTGAAGTGAGCTAAGGAAGCTGTCCCGATCAAGAACCATACCAACCACCAATCAAAACCACAACCACCAATCAAAACCGACCTCCAAACTCCAATCGCGTTGCACGAACATCGCCCCACCTGGAGATTGTGCTCCTTGATGTAGGCCCACAGCCGCTTGACGACCTCGGTCCTCGGCAGCAGCTTCTCCCCCATGCCAAAGAACTCGGACAGCTCATCGGAGATGGGCAGCGGGCGTAGCAGGCCCTTGGGCGGGCCGGGGGGCTTGTCGCCCTCCTGGGGCTCCTTCTTTTGCCGCTTGGCGCGCTTCTTCTTCTTCTTCTTGCCGTCGTCCTCCTCCTCCTTGCCTGCAAAACGTTTGATTCTTGGGTCAGACTCTGGGTCTGACAAAATTTTGTTCCCTTTGACTGAGTTATTTGGCCCTTAACCAGTACCTGTCACCAAACTTGAGAGGTAACCAGCTTTGAAACAAACTTACAGCCTGGCTGTTGTCCGGTAAACCAAGACTTGACATGGGTAATCAGCCTGGTTAGCAGCCATATTCTGTGGTTTCTGGCAAGCATTTGGTGAACCAGAGTCGTTGCCCACACTGTCCTCGTCATTTGCAAGTCCTTTGAAGCTACAAAGTCAAGCCCTATTTGAATGCCAAAACTCGCATGAGACTGTCCTACTCCAACAGATGCACAAACCTGTAGCTTACGATACCAGTATGACCGAAGGTCTCGCATCTTGAATCAAAGGCTTGACAAGCGATGATGTCTGACCTGAAATGCCAGGCGAACAGCAGCTAATGAAGCTGCTCCGAATCAGGCACGTGATCATTTGCACGACTTCATTTCCAGCCAGTCTGACTGGCTTTACGGATGCAATGAAGCAGGAAACGCATCTTGATTCTCACCCTTCTTTCCTTTCTTCCCTTTGGGTTCATCATCTTTCGCTTTCGGCTTTCTTGGTCTTGGCTTGGGCTTGGGAGCATTGGGGTCTGCAGAAAGACAACATGTCTCCTCAGCAACTGGCGGTGGTGAGTGACTGACAGTCACGGTCTACCGTCCTCCCTTCTACCTTCTATCTGGCATGGAAGCAGGACCTTGGCCCACTCTTTTCCTTGATTCATGACTCAAGGCATCTGTTCTACCCAACAGAATATTGCTTTACTCAACCTCTTGTAACAACAACCAAAGCATCGATATGCAGAAACTGCAGTGGACTCTCTGGCAATCCCTTCTCCTCATGGTCGATTCCAATCCTGTGATTCTTTCTGCCCTTCGACTGACCGAATCAACAGAAGATCGCGCCACTACTTGTTCGCTGAATCAGCCATGAATATGATCCAGATCGACTCTGCTCTGTGGGTATAAGAATGAGATTGCAAGAGGCAAGTATGCCTAGCTGAGCGACAAGGAAATGGACATTAGCAAACACAGACTGAAGATTACAGCAAAGCCCATATTGGTCAAACCCAGAGGAGAGCAACCCCAAATTTGGTGCTGGGAAAGAGCGAACGCAAGCAAGCAAAACACAAGACTTACCCTTGGGAACGTGGATGGAGAAGATGTGCTTGGCCAGCAGCTTGTTGACCTCAAACATGTTTGTTTCGGTCACTCCAAACAGCTCCTGGAGCGCCGCATCGCAGTGGATGTTCCGCTTATTCTCAGCGTCCTGCAGGTTGTGCCCCTTGATGTACTCCCACAGCTTCTTCACAATCTGCATGGAAAACAGAACTTGGTCGATCAAGGTGCAAAAGAGTTGAGGGCAAAAGCAAAAGGTAAAAGGGTTTAACAATACCAAGTGAGCAGAAGCTACACAGGTAGAAACTGCAGAAATCAACGTTCCAGCAATCTTTGCGGCAAAGCCTCTAAGCCAGTGGTTGAGGTCGCCCAAAAATTGGATTCTCTTCTGCACCTGACAACTCCATAAAGTAGAGACAGAAACAGGATTGTGGATTTCCCCAAACCAATCACTTGCTTCTCAACAGCCTAAACGCAAATAATGCATCAGACATTGCAGCAAGCATCTGGCCCTAAAGAGCCGTGAAAGACAGCTTTCATGCTCGAATTGCTTCCTTTTCTTATTCCAAGAGAATTCAACACAATTGGCCTCGCATCAGAGCTGATGTACTCATATGCAGACACAAACTACCCTGTCCAATCACCATTCGCTGTCTTCTGAGCAGTTGTCTCTGGCAGAAGACTGAAGCCTCAGTGTGACTAGGGAATACACTTCTCAACATCCAGAATACACGGAGTAGCAAAATGATCTCAATTCATGTAGTTAGTCCTTCCTCTGAATCTAGTCCATCATCTAGGATATTTACCATCAAGCTCGGTCATAGCCACTCAATCCAGAGAGCGCATCTTTCGCCTAGCAAGTCACTGTCACCACCGAGAAAGGTGCTCCTATCAAGATTACAGCTCACTGTGATACCCATTCGCCTCACAAAAAGATCCCACGTATACCGCAGGAACCCTGTCAACTGAACTACTCTTGAATCGACGACCTTACCTCATTCCTAGTTAGCCTGGGGGCGCCAAGAAGATTTGCAAGCTGAGGGGAAAGATTGCAGGGTGTTGCAAAGCCGCCTCCGCCACCTCGCTTACTGGCACGCAAGAAGAATGCAAAGTAATCAGCAATTGCTGAGAAATGGAATGAAGTTGAGAAGCGCTCATTCAGAGGCCTCTCACCTCAGTCCTGGGCAACTGTTGCGCTCCAAGAAGTCTCGACAGCTCAGGAGAGAGGTTGCAAGGAGTAGAGAAACCACCAGCCTTCTTTGCACTGGTCAAGGAAAGAAAAACTGCAACTTGTCATCCAAGGCTACAACCACAATTGGTGGCCCAATGCATCATGAGGAATAAAATTTTAGGTAGCCATTCAACTGTACGAAAGCAACTGGCTAGGACCTTCCCAGAAAAATGCAAACCAGCGTGAATGATGCTGTTCCGATCTGATGTAATCGTTTACCAGAACTTTTGCAAAAATGGTCACTGCCACCTAGCAAGAAGCTATACTGAACACAAGAAATTAACATCTGGCCATGCATCCAATGTCCTTGTCCGTCTCCAAGGCAGCCCGCTGTCCTGCATGTACTCGCAGCGTTTCAGGTAAAACGGTGCCCAATCTGACAGCCTATGATTGAAATACTTACGGTTTCTCCTCCTCGTCGACTGCAGCAGACTCCTCCTCCTCCTCATCGTCATCGTCATCATCCTCCTCCTTCTGCTGTGCATCCAGATACTTCTGTATCTCAGCCCTTATTATTGTCTTCTTCTCAGTAAGATCTACTCCCAGCTCCTCTTCTAACTGCTTGCGCAATTGCCGCTCGGTCGTTGTCTGCAGGTCTGCTGTCTTCAGCTTCTCCTGGACACGCCTCGCAATCTCAACGTCGTTCACCATGTTTCCCTTTGAAATACAAACCAAAGCCAAAAAGGCCCCAAGGTTCTTTACCAGCTAAGGACACAAAATGTCCTAGTACAGCAAGCTCTCAATCAAAGAAGATAACAGGCTATTGGCACAGACACTCAATGACCTGCACGTACTGAGACTGAGCTTTCTGCCCCTATGTGGAAGAATGGGTCTTCTGAGGGACTATCCTTGAACCTCCAATCAGCCAAAGTAGGCCCCTAGCAACAACAAGGACGAGCCACTCCACCTCTCAGGCCACGGCGCCTTGCGGCACCCCTACAAGGGGGGGACCCCTTGGGGACGAAGTGTCCACTCCAGAAGGGGAGTCAGGGTTGCAGTCTAGCAACGCCTTCGCCAGTCCAGTCGAGAGCTTTGCAAAGCTTGAGAGTGCACCAGAGTGCCGCTAGAGAGCTGCTTGCGAAGGGCTTCTTGCGGACTTGACAATTTTCCAAGGCTTCTTCCAGGCTTGAACTTTCAAGTTTCAGCCTTGCAAAAAGACCGAAGACAGAAGTTAGAACACGTCCTCTGCCGTGCGAAGATAGGCTAGTGCCTGGAAATAATCTCCGAGCAGTCTAGAAAACCTGGTGTCAAAGTTACGCAGCCAAATGTCCTGCTCGAACTTGAACGAACAGAGTGTGTAGTTCCCGGCTGCTTTTCCGAGGCAGATTTTTAAATCGAGAAATGACGAAGCATACAGAGGAATCTTTTGAGGAGAAACTCACAGATTGCGTAACGTCGTGAACGTCTTCTAGGTTCAAGATCGTCGCATTTTAAAAAAGGCATAACGCCTGAAAGCAGCTACGATGCGATGCTTCGAAGCAAAGCAATGACATGTAACGCAAATAATGAACGGTCCGCTGTGCACAATCTGACTCACGAGCTAGGCCCGGTCGCGCGGCGGCCGCACAAGTGCAAAACTCGAAACCTCTTGCTGGCATTCATCCACGTCATCTTGTAGGCCCGCGGCGCGACGGATGCGCGCACTAGCTACTAAACCAATTAATGATACTCCTCGCGATCACTCCGACTCCGAGTCCTAGGCTCCTTGCTAGCTTGCACCAAACTTGCCCCATCTCCTGCGCAGCGGTCAGTTGGTGCAGCAAGAAGCGCACGTTTGAAAGGACACAACTCTGGGCGTGGGTAGCTTTACCCTTTTCCCGCGAACGGAATCTGTTGATTTATCCTTGACGTGAGGGGAGGGAATCATTTCTCAGTTGCTATCAAGCATACTGCATTATCTTTTATGTTAGTGGTTGCTCGTTGTGGTGGTGCGGCACGGTGGGGAGTGTCGCGGACGATCAACAAAGTCCACTTTGGGCGTCTGTCTTTTCCACATCCTGCAGCTGCCATGGCATCAGCAGGCATCAGCATGGCTTCGGCCCAGCCGCTGGCCGCGAACCTCTTCAGATCTGCCACAGATTCCCCTTCCACTTCTTACTCTAGAGCCAATGTTGCCGTTGATGCTAGAGCATGCTCGCCGGCATTGGGACGCCAGCGTTCACCTCAAACCCTAAAAGCTCCCATTGCAGCAGTTCTAGGAAACCGTGCTTTTGCAAGCAGCGCGGGCGTTGAAGGAACACGGCTCGCATTGCAGAGGAAACTTTTGCTTGGAAGCTCAATGCAGTGTGGCAATGCTGCTTCTAACATGAGGACAACTAGGAGATTTCACATCAGCGCCGTTGCTCAGACTCAAAGCTTGACGAAAGAAGGTAAGCACGAACAGACCCAGAACCGTCATCCAATATATTATTTCTCCTTTGACTTCCAGATCACTTGTTCTGATTCCAATAACCTGCTCATTTGTCATTCAGTTACATCAGTCAGGCAAATCTTTCTTTTTGACTTTTCCCATCCCCGTTTCTTTCTCAGAGTACTGCTGTCATAAAGCAGCAAATATGTACCTTGTAAAAGCAAACGCCTTCTTGGTGTAAGATGCAATCTGTTTGACCAAGCCAAAGGCAATAGCAAAGAGGGAAGGAGGTGTGGCAGAAGGTCTTGCAGATGCAGTCACCACCACTCACTGCTGCACAGAGCTTCTTGAGACGCTTTAGCTTTCGATAGGATCACAGCATGGAACGAAGAAGCCCCGTCAGGATAGCAACCGAACGCGCTGCTTATTCTCGCATGACTAAGCACAAGTCTTCGAGGGGGATAGCCTCCCTCCTTACGAATTTGCAAGCTTGTAACCTGTAAGAAGGCGGGTACCGCAAGGGCAGCGTTTGTCGCAGAACTCGCTGACTGGTCATCTCCATGCTTCATCCTCCATCCTTCATTCTCCATCCTCCATCCTCCATCAGCTTGCAAATCGCGAAAACCCATCTACGGTTGTATTCATTGACTGGCCAGTGAGACTTTTGCGGCGATATGACGTTTTTGTCGTTGTTATAATGATTTTCTGCAGATGTGGTTAGAAGAAACGGCCCTATCAAGATCGTGTTGCGCGCCAGCTTCACCAGCTCATATGAAGCAGATTGGCGGATAGATCGACTCTATCTGGGTGTCTGTTATATTGCAAAAATTGTTTGTATCCATCTTTTGCAGACGAGGTTGAGGTGGACGACAATAGTAACAACGCGTTGGATTCACTCTCACCATCTCATAGAAGCACACTGTCGATCAGTCTGATTGAATCTCATGACTGATTATCTGTGATCATTGACTGTCGGTCATAACCACTTTGTACAGACGTCGTTAAGGAGGACGACCCCAGCAACAACGTGTCGGACGCCATTTTCTCCAAGCTGGGCATCAACCTGCACCACCGGCCGAACCACCCGCTGTGCATCCTTAAGGAAGCCATCTATGAGTACTTTGAGGGAAGGGAACCTGGAAAGTTCCAGAAGTTCGACAAAGAGCCCCCCGTTGTGACCGTGAAGGCGGTAGGTGCTTCTGAATTGAGGTGTGAGTTGAGGTTGTTCGTGTGCAGTTTTGTAAGCTTGTATTGAGACCCATTTTGGGCTCCAGCCGACCACGTTACGCTTAATCTATGTGTATCTGTCCAAATGGAGCGAAATTGTCACTCTGGAAGACCTTTTCGTTTTCCGCCTAGCTTTGCTAAGCTGTTGGAAATGATTGTCCGCTTATGCCAGCCAGGTTCGTAACCCCATTCTTCGTGAAGAGAATGTGGTCAATCGCTGAAAAGGCGCGTCTCTTTGCAGAGCCTCAACAACTTCTAGGACCCAATTCAAATCGAAGTGTGCATCTCGGCAACATCCTTGGCAGATTACTCAGGCCAGAGCGTTCTAATCATCGTTCAACTAAGAACGCGCTTTACGAATCACTAACGGTGATTTGGCACTGTCCATCAGTGCGGATTGGAGCCACACAACAGAACGAGTCCATCCGAAAAATCCTTCTGTTGAACGGTTCAAGTCTAGTAATCGCATTCTGTCCACTCGCCTGCAGAGCTTCGACGAGCTTCTCTCTCACAACCACACCCCGAAAGTATGCATGAATAGTGTTGGATCGAGCTGAAAACTGTCCCAAAGAATGGGACAAAATTTTCAGCAAACGCTCAACTGACAATCTGTGCCTTGCAGAATTTCGATGAGGTTCTCGTCCCGGCCAACCACATCAGCCGCAGCTACAATGACACGTACTACGTGAACAAAGAGACGGTGCTGCGCTGCCACACAAGCGCGCACCAGGCGCAGAAGCTCCGGGAGGGCCACTCGCACTTTCTGCTGACCGGGGACGTCTACCGCCGGGACGCGATCGACGCCACGCACTACCCGGTCTTCCATCAGGTGAGCAACGGAGAAAGAAATCAGTGGTATGCATCTTCAACTTTCGAGCTGGACATGGAATTAGGTAGTAAGGTTTCATATCCTTATGAATAGCTGCCCGATTGCGTTCTGTCACGGGACATAGCTGCAGACCATCTTGTGTTTCATTAGGTGAGCAGAATGCGGCGGTATATCTACGAGAGCCCGTGTTTGCTTCAACCTTGTGCAGGTCTTATCCCCTCAGCGATAGGGCCAACTCGGGCCAGAGTCGATTTCAAATTCTGGTTGCCAGTTCATCTTGTCCGCCCGATTAACCTTTCACACGCATTCTTCTTGTAATTAAAAGGGATTCGATTTTGATTGGACGACTCTGGAGCGGCGAGCGAGGGAGAAGTAAACGCGTGGCGCATTCACCTGGATTTGGAACGCACTTCATGTTGCTCCGATTGTGCATTTCGCTTGTGCATCCGCCTTATTTAGTTACATTAAGTCCACTGCTCCGGACCGCTTACGCAGAGCTGTAAGCAAGCAATCAGCCCCCTCAAGAAGTAATGTTCTAGCTTGGGCTGATATATGCTTAGGTTCCCAGCCTCCCATCTCTGGTGCAAGTACACTCCAGATTTCATTTTCATGCAGAGCATATCCTGTGCTACATGATCAGTCAACGCATTCCTACAATCCGGAAGAACGTAGACGACTGCTCACGACCATCCGGGTCGATGCGGATGTCAACACGTCAGGAACGCGGATCTGACGTCATGTTTTGTCCGTACCCGCAGATGGAGGGCGTCAAAGTGTTCAGCAACGACGAGTGGGTGGACGCCGGCCTCAGCTCCGTGAACTACATCGAGAAGGACCTCAAGGAGTGTCTAGAAGGCCTGGCAAGGCACCTGTTCGGTGAGACATCCGCCCCACAGAACTCTCGGTCGTCAAAGCAGTGGAAGCATTGGATTGAAGGTGCCCTTCTTCTACGTCCCAAAGATTAGTTTGGGTATTGTGGTCGCTTCAAACAGGGAAGCGTTATAAGCCCGACTGTCAGAGCAGGAGTGTGGAAGCTGGCTTGCCGTTCAGAAGGGCGATTCGAGCAGGCTGAGCTTCTCGCGCAGGCAACGTAGAGAGTTCACAAGTGCGACTGCTTCTTCCTTGTCACGGACCCTTCGTCCGAGATGGAATTCAAGTGACAAACTTCGAACTCCAATCCTTCAAATCCCTGAAAGTTGGTAAGCTTTGCTCGTGCTGGCAACGTGCAGTCGCGGTGGTTCATCCCCCCTTTCAGGGACCCCTCCTTTCAGCAAAAAAAGCCTTCTCACCAAAGCTGTAATTACAACAAACCCAACACCTAAATGACTGTGTTCTCGTGCAGGGGACGTGCAGATGCGGTGGTGCAACTGCTACTTCCCCTTCACGGAACCCTCCTTCGAGCTGGAAAAAGAAGTCTGTGAAAATCTAAACCTCTTTTTGGATAGCCGAGCAGGGATCCCAAGGAACTCAGTAACCTTCAAAAGTTCAAAACCCTAGGGTTCTGAAGCATGGATTTCATATCTGCAGGCGATGTGCCGATGCGGTGGTGCGACTGCTACTTCCCCTGCACGGACCCCTTTCGAGGAGCGATTTGACGACAGCAGAATCCTCTAATTCCCAAAGCCTCAAGACTCTAGGTTTCGACATGTGGCAACTTCTGCTTGCGCAGGCGACGTGCAGATGCGGTGGTGCGACTGCTACTTCCCCTTCACGGACCCCTCCTTCGAGCTGGAGATTTTCTTCAACGGCAAGTGGCTCGAGGTCCTCGGCTGCGGCGTGATGGAGCGCCAGATTCTGCGCAACACGGGCCGCCCCGACGACCGCGCGTGGGCGTTCGGCCTGGGGCTGGAGCGCCTCGCGATGGTTTTGTTCGACATTCCGGACATCAGGTTGTTCTGGACTGATGACAAGCGGTTCACGGAGCAGTTCAGCGCCGGGGAGCTGCGCCAGAAGTTCAAGCCCTTCTCCAAGGTAAGAGTTTGGTGTTTCAGGTGGTTCATTTTTGGATCTGAGCCCTTGTTTAAGGCAAGCGGCACGTGTTATGGCTATGCGCATGCGGTTTCTTTACCGATCATCCGCATTGGACGTGTCCGCATCAGTCGGATGTTCAAGAAGCAGGTGAAAGGAAAAGGGGTACTCAGCGCACAAGCACTTGCGAATCTGAGGAATCTGTCCTCGTTTGAGTGCTCTTGGAACCTAGTTTGAAAGCGCAACGGCGGGAGAGACGCTTCCCTTTGCAAGGCGGAAGTCAGGCGGAACGTTCTCTCTTGATGCAAATCAGACAACAGTGGCCCATCGAGCTCTGCGGTTTGCCCACTCCCCTAAAGACAAAGGGACGTTGATCAGTCAATGCTCTCATGAAAGGCCTGGGTAAAGGCCATACAAAGTTGCTTTCCTCCTTTGCTCGAACTTGAAGCCTTGGCGGCGAAGGCGTTAACATCAAGGCAGTCCGCCAGACCTACTCAGAGAGACGAGGATGGTGTGAAAGCGGCCCTGCTGTTTCTGAACGGCCTTTCGCTTTTCCGTGCAGTACCCGCCCTGCTACAAGGATATCGCGTTCTGGGTCAACGACCACTTTACGGAGAACAACTTCTGCGAGCTGGTGCGGGGAGAGGCTGGAGATCTCGTGGAAGAGGTACGCTGTGGTTCTACAACTTCAAAACTTTACACAGACTGCATTTTCATTATTCTGAATTCTGGGGGTATGTGGCGACCAGAAGCCAACCAGAACCAAAGTCCAAGCTCCCATCCACAGAAGTCTCTCGTTTTTCTTACTCAGCGGCCAGAGAAGGGCAGGTTAGGTGTTGTCTACTGACCGAGACGCAAGTTCGAGAGACGCAAGTTAGACACCCAGATTCCAGCTGGACTTGTCTTTCTGGAGCAGTCGTGACTTAGAAAGTGAAGCATCGATTGGAAACCCTGAATCCAAGCCCCGGTTCTGTGGGTCATTGGGACGTTCCCGGCAGCACGACTCGAGGTGACCCTTTTTGTGGGGAGATGCTGCCGTGCATCCAAAGTGCTGACAGAGTTTCTTCGTCTTCGGCCTATCTCGTGTGACGAGCTCATCGTACTGCTGTTCTTGAGCCTTTCACGAAGGCGACCCTCCCTTCGCGCCTCTTACCGCGCGTGGCTTCAGAAGTCGACCTAAAAGCACATTTATCCAGGCCGCGCCGACCATTTCAGCGCTTTGTTTGCTGCTGTCAGCTCTCTTCACTTCAGAACTTCTTCCAAAAGTCCTTGAGCGGAGTCCTCGATGAGGCGCTACCTTTGACCCCTCCGCGCTTTCAACTTCCCCTGCTTAGCTCTTTCGCATCACATTCAACGGCCCCGTCTAGCGGTACTTCCGGCGAGTCGATCACTCCCCTGACGCTTTTTTCGGTCTTGGCATCCCCAGGTGCAGCTCATCGACGAGTTCACCAACAAGAAGACGGGGCGCACCAGCAACTGCTTCCGGATAACGTACCGGTCGATGGAGCGCTCGCTGACAAACGAGGAGATTGACGCTATTCAGGTCTGTGCCCTTTTGGTTTGTAGCTTTTCCATGCCTGTTGCCATACGTTTCCTCAGGTTCGTTCCCTTCCGTGGATCTTCTGTGAGCTTCCTTACTCGCTTGTGTGGGCTTTCTCATGTGGGCCTCTCCTGTTGACTTTCTCTTCTGTGAGGCTCCTTCTCTCCGCTTTCTTGTATCGGGTGTCTTGTGTGCGCTTCTCTTGTGGGCTTTTCTCCGTGCCCTTTCTCGTGTTGGGTTACTTACGTATGCCTTTTCTGTGGGCTTTCTTACGTCGCCTTCTTCTGGGCTTTCTTCTATGGGCTTTGCTAATCTGTGCTTACATACATAGCTTTCATTGGTTGACTTTGTTTATTGGGTTTTCGTACGAGGGCATCCTGCTGTCGGCTCTCTTTTCCTGGTGCCCTTCTTGTGTCCTCTTTTTTCCTTGGGCTTCCTAAAGCGCCCTTCCTTAAGAGCTCCGGAGGTTCCGCTCCTGTTTGAGCAGAATCTTTGCTTGTCGGGACGGCCCCCTTTAAGTGTTGTTTCTATCTCTGACGTGGTTCATCAAACGAAATCTAGTTGTCCAGGCGAGGAGACGTTTCTTGCTGTGCTTCTGAAGAACATGGACGGCAGACAATAGGGGATATACAAACTGGCACATGCATGTGGGACGCCCGATCCAATGCTTTTGTGGGGCTAACCAGAGCAGTGCTCATACTGCACTGCATGGTGCCCCGTCCTTGCACTCATTCTGAAGTGAAAAACTCGTCAATGGTCAGATATCGAAGGCTAGTTTTAACCACCGCATGCACGAGGCAGATCCTACTTGATTCTGTTGCTGACTGTGCCTAAACTCTTTGCCACATTTCTGTATCATAATGAGGCACGACAAGACGTACCTGATCCAGCTTTGTCTGCTCCTGTCCCCGTCTTAAACCGAGTCTTTGCTCTAATACTTCCTTCTGGCACGTGGTCTGGATTGTGCTTGGTCGAATCAGCTGTTTCTGCTGCTCTGATGCTCTGGTGCTTTTGTCACTTGACCTCAGGGAGGATGTGTAAGAGTCACGTAAGAGGGGCGGTCAAAGGAAAGCAGCCTGTTTCACTCGATCTTTTGTTGCCGTCTCCGCGATCGACCTGGTCAAAGCCACTCAACTTGAACGTTGTGCTTTCTCCTGATTTGTCATGGATGTCAACACCCCTGATTTCGATAATATGACTTAGCTTGACAATCGACCGGGCAGGCTTCCTGTGGCGCTTTTTCCAGCTGCTATTTCAACGACAAAAAGGCTACGGTTGACAACGTTGAGCTGCTACTCATTTGGGCTGCTGCGATTCTCTTTCACAAACATCTTCGAAATCCTGGCTGGTGTGTATTACCTCAGTTTTTATCAGTCTGCATGCTCAATCACCACGCCCAAACTTCTGCAGGAGAAAGTGCGCGAACAAACTGCAAGCAAGCTGAAGGTGGAGCTACGGTAACAAAAGCGTGCGCTTTGGGCTTTAGCTACCTGATCGCAGCATTACCTAGCGGACTGTTATGTGAGGAACTGACAACACAGTTGGTTGGGGTTAGATTAACAAGCACGTCAACTGGCAGGGGAGTCGCATCAAGAAGCGTCAATGTTTGAGTTGCAAATCTTTGTATTCCTTAACGGAATGTGTGTCCGGATCGTACGAGTCTGTGGAACTATAGATTGACGTTGATCTATGAACAAATTACTACTCCGAGTAAACGGCTATCCCATGAACATGTTCACATCTTGCAGTTTGCCTATACAGCTAGCGACCTAGTGACATCTCTACCTGGTATGGATCATGCATGACCTAGAAGTACGCTGCTTGACGAGATACCGGGACACACCAATCAGCGCCAGCAGGCTAGCTCCCAGTGGCAGCCGCCTGCATGCTACTGCAGGCATACGTTCAATGATGCACGTCATGATCGAGTCACAAACTTGTAGTGCATACATGTGCCAGTATATACGTACATCTGGGAACTTATACTGTTCTGAGTCAATTCAGGGATAAGCTAGTGACATCGTGCATTAATAGAGTTGAAGCATTTGATTGAAACACCTGTACCTTTCTAACATACTGGCCTTGAAGTCGAACAGAAAGTGCGCGCTCTTGCATATGTTGTGTTCCAAGTTAATTGGCCTCGTGGGACAATCCCCATGTCAGCTAGGTGCGGCAGGCTGTCCAATTTCTGATGGGTGCATGTTTTCATGAGGTTTGCCAAGTTAACCATTGATATATGTTCAAAACTTCCGTGGCATTATGAAGTGTGGTTCACACTTACCATGGTGGATATGTATGATGAGACTGACGAGCATTAATCAGTGGCTGGCTGCCATGGGACTGGAAAACGACTTAAGATGAGAGGTGGCGGTATGAAACAACGACTGCTACCTACCTCAAACTTAATGCTTGGAAGTGCGGTAAAGTCTTTACTTGACAGATGTTGTCCAGCAACTTAAGTCAGATTGAAGGGCTAGTAACAAGACAAGTGTAAGGAAGCAATGTGGTTCACTGGACAAGTGAACCTTCGAAGGTCTTATCATACACCAACCAGTATATTGTACAAGCTGTGATATCAAGTCTAGTGCTCATCTGAACTCTTAAAACCCCTGATGCTTCTCGTTAGAGATCTTTCCTAGTGGCTTAAGGTCTACTGTGATGTGCGTGCACTAACAGTAGCTTTGGAAAAAGCGTCAACCCGGTTGACCAATTCCAATAACGACCACGTTCTAAAGTAGAAACATGGCCCTAGAAAGCACCCTTCATCTGACGGTAAAGTTCATTTGAGACATGACGTCATTTGGGCATCCGCAGGTTTACGCTAGTAAACACCGCATCCAGCCAGGCCCACACCAAGGTCCTTGTGACTTATTCCAGCGCACGACCATATTCGAATCAGTGGCATCACACCTGGAAAAATGGGACGATCAAATGCTGACGGAAAGAAGGCTTCATACCAAAACCGACGATCACGAGTATATTGCTAGGAACATGAAGGATGCACTTGTCCTGCCAATATGTGAGCAACATGCTCTTTCTGGGTCACTACTCCATGCTCGCTTACTGCGGCAGGCAGCAAATGATCTGGATTGGATGTCTAATCAATGGTCACTTGTATTCCAGTTCCACTGACAGCAATGCCAAGCTGTCAAATGCAAGCAGGCAGACCAACTCAGGATGTCCCATAATTTTGAAACCCTTTCCAAAAGAGGCGCTTTTCTCGTCCGCTGGTGTGCCCAGTGCCCATTCCAACTCTAGATCGCTGAGTACAGGCCGCAAAAGATCTAAATCCAGTAACATATATGACATGACAGGGATGCAATATTGGAATCCACCCTGCCTGAAAACCACCGTTCCCAAGAAGAAAGCAATGTCCACAGAAACAGAAGGCTCAGACAAACGACTGCAGATGATGACAACAGAAAATTAAAAGCTGATGAGTTTCATTGGCATGACACCTGTCACACTGCTAAGCGAAGAGGTCTGACCCTCAAGGCCCTAGCAAAGATCCGCCTGAATTGGCCAAGCCCACATCAGACAGATGGCACCATTTCCGTTCTGAAAAGCTCCCGACCTGGTCACGGAGTATACTGTGAGGTGCATGCAAAGTTGACACATGCACTCGTAGCTCGAAACAAAACCACTCGACTCCTGCTTTCGACTGAATCGAGGGATCAGATTCGGGCTCACAAGAAGCAAATATAGCCACACCCCGCATATCCTTACCGATTGCACATGTCCTATGCTGCCCCCCTCATCGGGCATCCAACCACTTATCCTCCCCCCCCAAATACGGTGTGTTGTATAAGAGGCCCGGAACATAAGCCCCGAGCGAACCATCCCGTGCATCACCCATATCGCCTGGCAGCGGGAGCCCGAGTTTGGCGGCGCAGACCGAGACCCAACGAAGGACAACTTCCGGATACTGATGGTGGAACACCACACCCAGCAGAACCAACAGGACAACAACGCAGAAGACGTCTAGGGCTACTCTCCTGCCGGAACGGCCGCACAGGGACGCCATTGCGCGCCAACTAAATAGGGGAAAGACACGGGCAGAAGCACATCCGAGCTCACATCATCATCAACCAAATTTGAACAGCAGCCAGCTCGGTTAGGTTACCAGTGTCGAGTCTGCACAGACTTGCAGAATCCAGCTGCCATGGCCCATTCGGGAAACAGCCTGCAGCCTGCAGGTTAAACAGTCACTAAATGTTGCACGTGCTAACGCCTTGCATTCGTGCTGAGCAGATTCTGCCGGATCGACCTGCCTTACAAAAAGCCCACTTGTCAGACTAGATGCCGTCATTTTACCGGTAAACGACAAAGTGTCCAAGATTCTGGTGATACGTGGCGGCGATTCGTAGTCTCGTAGAGCGGGTCTGGAATATTTGTGCGGCCCAGAGCTGCCGATACCAGTACAGCGGCATGAGTAGGTTTGGTACTTGATAGTACGGTACAGACATCATCGCCCCTCGCGGCGACGGCCCAGCCTGGGCGTAGGGCCGCAGCCCTATGTCAAACAGAAGCTGTGTCGCTCTGTCTGCCTACTTAGGTACCTACCTACCGGTACCTAAGTCGAATTAAGTTCGACATTCCTGACCAGCATCTCATACTGATAAATGCCGTCGATTGGGTACGGTGTTTCATCTCAGCCTTCGGATTGGAAAGAAATTCAAAAACTTGCACAAACCGCGCCAATGACAATGAGGTCAGAGTCTGGACTCAGAGACTCTGTAAGTTGCCAGGTGCTACTTACCGTAATACCGGTAGATGCCTAGGTACAACCGTAGGTACCTGGGTATGTTCGGCCCGGGGATACCAGTATTGCCAAACGATCAGGTAGGTAGGTAGGTACCGTAGGTAGGTAGGTAGGATTCCGGTACGTACCTGGAACCCAGACCTGGAGTCTGGACAATTGCAAGGTACCTAGGTACCTACATCAAATTTCAGGAATCAGGATTCAGGATGCAGAATCACGTTTTCTGTGTCAATCGCCACATATTTTAGGTAAGATTACGGTATTCAACATGTAATAAGTATAGGTTATCCAACGAGTGCGAGAGAATATCGAAGTTTCGCGTCGAACGAGAGCGGATATTCCACGAGGGCCTCCGAGGCCCGAGTGGAATATGAAGCTCGAGTTTGACGCGAAATCTGATATGCTCGAGCACGAGTGAGGGTAACCGACTTATCTCACGACCGGACTCCGATGCATCGTCGAACCTGGTAAGGGTCTCGCGTTTATTCCACCGCTGAGCGTTGAATAAAAATATATATTCAACGCCTGGGTCGCCGACTAAGTTCGACGCCGAAACTTTACTAATACTCAACGCCGAAATGGCTGAGCGCAAAAACCGGTCGTGGGATAATATGGTAGCGCCACCAATGTGGTAGCGCGGCGCGCCACATGCTCTCCGGCTTCGATCTCGATGTGGTTCATTCTGATAACGCAGTCCGCGATTGTCCTTGTGCCATTGCTTTTCATGGCGCGCGCTGAGTCCACTATCCGGGGCAAAGTCATGAACCCTGACATCTTCCTGACATGTGGTCGGAACCCTGGCCCTGGCGTATACCCAATGGTACTCGATACGTCTCTTTCACCAAATCATGACTTCATCATTGATAAGAAAATACTCTTAGTACGTCATGCAATTGAGGTACTAGTGTATCTGATCTCCGTTCTAGATAACTACCTAGTTGAGGCTTGAGCAGGCTAGCGTGATTGGGCCGTCATGCAGGACCGCTCATCATGTGAGAAGCGATCATAGCTTCCAAACGAATGTAGCTGCGCAATTTGATAAAGATCTAGAGCAATTCGCGATCAATCATGTTTATCGCGGTATATATCGTTGTAAATCGAGTTGAATCAGAAGCTCTGAGGTCAACGGTTCAACAACAATCGACTGCCAGGCGATCATATTCAATATAGCTCATGGGATGGCCATAACTTTCCTCCTTGGCCATGCCATGAGCCTAGGTAATGTTGACCAAGCTTATAAAGATTGTTTACAATTCTCCCACATCCCAATAAGCCAAGTGAGCTTGCGAAAGATGCACTTCTCATATCCGACCCTTTTCCGAATTAACCGCGTAGTTCTGCCAATATGTAACACAGCATGACACGTCACAACGAAATCGAATATAACAGCCCTTCCATCCGAAGGCCACCTTTCTCTTGCATGATGCATGATCTTTCGAGGTCGAACTTATGATGGCTCTTGGCACATTGATTGAGCAAAAACCTCGGACGAGATACAGTTGGTCATCTTCAGTAAAATGATTTCAGTAGAGCCTGATCAGAAATTTAAGCTGAATCCTAGCCCAGTTAAAGGTGGGAAACCAAGGGCCTCATGTCGGTTTTTAACTATTGCTGTCCTTACAACTCTTGCCAACCGTTGTTGAGTTTCATTTGTCTTGTCAGGCCACATGCGGACCTTGGTAATCTCTGGCCCAAATCATTTCATGTTGATTAGATGACGTCAATAGGTATCACGCCCCTCTAATCAATATCAGCTACAATCGAGCGAGGCCTTCAATTGATTACATCCGCTTCCATGGACACCTGCCGATCGTATGCTGCTCTCAGCGACTCCACCCCCGAGCTTGGCACATAAGGTTTCGTCTCCAGCGCCAACCCTGGCAGTTTTGAACCCGCTTGAACCTCCACAGCAAGGGCCCCATCGACTGTCGCATCAATGTTTTCAGCTTCGCTTTCCGGTCCTCGAGCTTCTAGCGCCCCTTGACTTTGAAGGACCCCCCTTTCCGTGCCGGTCGAGCCAGCCCCCCCTTCAGCACCATTTTGGTAACCTTCGCCTGTCCCCTGATCGTTCTGCGCGTCATTCCCCCTCCCCATCCGGAAACCGCCCGCTAACCCAGGTGCATAACCCAAGTCCAACGGCCCCAGATCGCTTGGCTGCTTTTCCCGGCCCCCTTCTTGCGTTTCCAATGCGCTTCCTACTCCGCCCGAGGGATGCGCTTGGTCCGCCCCGGGGCTCGACACGAGCACTTGCTGGTAGTCCCCCGCTTGGGGGCCCCCGTTCCGTTCCGTCCCTGTTCCGTCCCCCGGAACGTCTTGCACTTCCTCCACGATTGGGGGCGGGGGATCTTGCCCCGGGTACGAGGGTAAAATGTCCGGTCCCTGCCAACGAGGAAGAAAGCAAACGGTTCACATAAGCAGCAGAGACAGACATTCCGCAGTTGAAACGGAATGGAACAGCAAAGAATGGGAGGGAACGGCTGACTTTGTCATGCAGTATCGTGCCCAAGTGTAAGAGGGCCAGGTGAAGTTGTGGGGGGAAGTATGATCACCAACATTGCAGCAAAGCCCACTATTCAGACGGCTGGGAAGAGCGGGTAACAGCTGGAGTGCGAGTGTGGTTGGAATTCAAAACCTCAGACAATTGATTCTTTTTGGTGAAGTAACATTCAGATTATAAGTTGAAATGAAGAGCCGACAATCCTCACTTCACTGGACAGCAGGAATGAGTTTCTTGTTCAGCCCACCTGTGCGTAAGGGGGATCCCCCTGCTCGCCTGGCGGGAGCGCAGCATACTGCGCTGCGTAGCGCTCGTCGAACTCCGCCTGCCGCCGCCAGAAGAAGTGCGCCCGCGTGACGCGCTCCAGCAGGTCCTCGGGGACCTCCACACCGCGCCGCTGGGAGGGCGCGATCTGGGCGGTGCGCACCAGCGTCTTCCACTTGTCCTGTAGTGAAAATTAGCTTGTTTCAGGGTTGAGGGAGCCTGGATTCGACGTTTCTCTCGGCACTGAGCGATTCATGGCCTCATTACCATCCCTTTCTGCGCTGCTGAAACAGTGCGATCTGGGCGGTGTGCACCAACACGTTACACTTGTCCAGTTCCGAAAGTGAAGTCGTTTCAGGGTTTGCTTTTCCTTGAGGATCTCTGGGGGAAACACGCCTTTCATGGGACCTCCAACTGGGACGGCGCGATCTGAACGGTGCGGAGGAGCGTCTTCTACTTGTCTTGCGAAGTAAGTTCGATTCAGACTTTCATTCCTTGTTCAGAGTATCTGGGGTCAAAAGGGTTGTGCTGGAAAACGTTAGGAATTGACGCTTATGATGTGATCCCATCCGAGGCCGCTTGAAGGGGCCAACTTGAGCGGTACGCACCAGCGTCCCCTACCTCTTCTGTAGCGGATGCGAGCTTTTAAAAGCAGATGTTTTGGGGGTCACCTCATTTGCAAAGTCTGAGTTCTGTTTGTTTTGGGCATGTCAGCTGGATATTTACGAAGGGACGCAGCCCCGCTGCTGAAAGAGAAGCACATCAGCAGCGGTTTTGACAGTTCAACTCACCACGAATCCCGCCGACGGGTTTTTACTGAACTTTTTTACAAATATTTCTGTACCACGTACAAAGGAGCTCTGCTTGCAAACGAGGCTTAGGATGAACATACGCAAAGCTCTTACCTTGAGATCTGCATAAGTCCGGTGCCTGGCCAGCGGGAAGGCCCGCTGCTTCACGTCGCGCCAGCGCCCGGTCCCCAAACGCTCCACCGCCGTCACGAGAGCCTCCACTTCCCCGACTGTGAATAGGCGCCGGGCACGCCGCTGGTCGCCGGTCGGATGCTTCTGCCTGCAGTCACGGAACGGTCTTTTCGATCTTCGCCGCACTTTTGGGCAGTCGTGGTTTGCTTATAAGACCTCCCCAGCGTGACAGATGAGGGGTTGTAGCGTGTAAAGACAGGGCGTGAGTCCACAGCCAAGTAGACGACTAACCAAACACAGCAACGCGTTATCGGTTCTGCTTCAGAAGGCGCTTTTGCTGGCCGTGATTGGAGCGCCCGGACTCGAGCAGCGCTCAGAAACTCCGTCTCGACAACACCATCTTAACGCGGAAGTATGAGATCTTGCCGATGTTGCCCTATTGAATGACAGCGCTACCTCAATCCACGGACAAGCCTACCAGTCGAACTTCTGAAGACTTGAAAGGCATCCTCTGAGAAGGAATACACCTTCGAAAATCGAGAAACCTGAAGATAACGATTCCTTACTTGAGGCTCTTCTCTTGCTTAGGCTCGCTCAGCGCCAATTGCCACTGCTGACCATCGTCCACCATCATCCCCCCAGCCTCCTCAGTGCCAGGTGGCGCAAACTCATTGGCCGCGGTGGCGGCTTCGTACCCTTGCTCGATGTAAGCTGTTGCATACGGTAATTGACTTAACCCCTCTGGGTCTGGGATGCCATTAGGGTCAATTGCGGGAACCTGAGTCTCATTTGGCATATGATATGAACCCGGGTCAAGGTTTTCGGGAATCCGTGACTGAATGACGTCAGCCGGAGGGGAAGCCCCGGATGCTCGCATAGGGGGCGCTCCAGTTGCGTTCGGATCTGGCATGGGGGTCTCGAACGCTTGGGCTTCTGAGGAGGGTGTGACGATGATCTCCGGAGGGAATGGGCTGACGGCTGTTGGAGGCCTGTAGCAGCAGAAACGTGGTTCAGAGAAGTGTAAACTGAACGCACTACAATCCTTCAAAACTCGAGAACAGTACGATCACTTGACGCACAGTATACGATGGCGATGTCACGTCATGAGCAACAAGTCGCAAAACGTTTCGGTCTTGTGATTGAAATACACAATCGCCACTGCATAGTAAGAGTACTCGCTTAATCTGGAAAGCCTACACGCTCAAAAAGCTCCCAAATTCATAAGTGCGTTCTTCTTCAAAGAACACAAAGCGTTTCAACCTCCTGGTGGTCGCCCCTTGAACTATGACCCGCCCACAATGTTGATCGCACTCAAGAAACACTCAGCTACTTGCCGACTCTTATTTCAAAAGACTTTGGTCTCACAGCAGTCAGCCAGCCACGTGATTGAACGCACCGCATGGCCACGTAGCGTTCGGTGGTCCCCGCCTCCGGCTCCAGCCAGTGGTTCCCCCGCAGCGCCATCTGCTGCGCAACCTTGTCCCAGTCTCCGTCGTCCTGCCCCAGAAACAGAATTGGTTAGTGAACAAACGCCCGGTCGACGGTAGCTGGTACGGGTAGGGTTAGTCAATGGGCTAGGGCGAGTACAAGCGGAGATCGTGAATCTTTGAATTAGGGTTTAGATCAACCCGAAAACCTGACGGTTCAGTGAGCTTACTGCGCACTGAAATTGAAATTACAACCCGATCGATGTACTAAACAGTAACAGCCAGTGAACAGTGAACAGCACCGGGGACGGGTACGGTTAGTCAGGGGGTTAGGGCGAACACCAACGAGCTCGCGAATCTTCGGGTTCGGGTTTCAAATCAATCGAAAGGCGTATCACACACTCTCTTCACTGTACACTAAAAAGAGAAGTACCTGTCCCAGCGAGCTGTCTGCCGGGCGCTCCATCTTCACTATCTCGTATGCACCCCCCGGCGCCGGGGCGTTCCCGCGCATGGCCGCGGCTCGCGCCCGCGCCTCCCAGTCGTCATCGTCGTCCACGACAACCGGGGGTTGAGGCGCTTCGGAGAAGGGCGTTGAGCTGGGGGGGTCGTGGGAAGGGCCAAACGAGGGGGGTTCGTCGGTTGGTGCGGACGTTGGCGGAGTTGGTTCTTGTTGGGGGGGTGTGGTTGCCGGCAAATCTTGAGGGGCACCAGACTCTGGAGGAGCGGGGATCGGGGGTTCCGTCGACTGGGGCGCCGAAGCGGGATGCTCCTCGGATGGACCGGCTGGTATTAAGGCGCCTGAGGACTGCGGATCCTGACTAGGCGGATCCGGGGACGACTCAGGAGCTGACGACTCGACGAGGGGAGCCGACGGTTCTGGGGCGGAAGGAGTGGCTGTGGCGGGCAGGGGTTCTGGAGCATCAATCGCTGACGACTGCGGCTCGGTTTGGAGGTCCGGAATGACTTCGGGATCTGAGGTTGGGATGGCCGGGTTAGGAGGCTCTGAAGCAGACTCAGGTGAAGGCTCTGGAGCGGTGATGACGTCAGCCGCGGGTTGAGGGGTAGGGGCAAGGGCGGGTGACGAGTGGGGTTCAGGAGTCAGGTCGACTGAGATCTGGGGGGCGGAGACTTCCGCGGTCTGGGTGGTCTCGGATGCAGGCAGGGTGGGGTCTTGAGTGGCTGTAGAGTTGGCGTCTGTTTGTGATGGTGAAGTCTGGGCAGGGGGGGCTGATGGGGGCTTCAGAGAGGGGGAACGCCGTTTTGCCTGTATGACACGGCAACGTGGCCTGTTAGCATACCAGGTCAGGGTCGTTCCAAGTCATCAAAGAAAGAAACTAGAGTTGTCAAAGATAAAGAAGCATGATAACCGGGTTGGTAAGCTGCGAGTAAGCTGAATGGCCGTGTACGTTCAGGATATGTGTCCAAACAATTCAAAGACTTCTATCGCAAGACAGCTCTGGAATTGACCATTGTGTCTTGATTTTATAGAGGGATCTGCCAAAGAAAGACATGCTTTTCCTTGCAAATGCGTGCCTTGTTTCTGCTAGAGAACTAGGATTATGTCTCGGCCGAAGCCGTCAAACTGCCCCATCTTCAGCTGTTCTCGTTGTCCTAGGAAAGAGATAAGAGGCTCCAAGTTCTTTACGTGAAGAATCTATGTTGCCCTGCTGACACAGTGTATTCAAAACATGACAGAGAAAGACAGAGGGAGTGCTTTTCCTTCCATGAAACGACCGAGGGCCCACAATACGGTAGTAAAAAGTCCTCACGTTGCGGGAAGCTGGTGTTTTGCTGGCGGCAGCCAGGCCTCTCATCAGAAGCTCCGCTGCTGACACCTGGCAGTAGCCGGGGGGAAGCTGGCTCGGGTCTAGCTGTGGTCCGTTCACTGGAAAGAAAAGCAAACGGAAGCGTCAGAGAAGAAACTCAAACCTCGTCTTAACCTTTGTAGAAAACCACGAGCTAGAAGGATTCGTCCCCTCATGTGGCTTGCAGCGACCCGCAAATCACGAGATACGACTAAGAGTCGCTGCACTTTTCTATTTACGTCGTTTCTGAGCGACCGACGGAGCGGAGCCTCGGCCAAACGGTCGCTTAGGGGGACCTGGCCCCCGAAGCCGTCTTATTATGGGGCGTAGATTGCTCCCTCGAGGTAATGGACTGGGTTCCACTTTAAGACATGTGGGATGCCCGTGACCGTTTATCTCAACGTTGCATAATTTTGAGCACATGAACACCAAGAACTACGTTCTTCTTCAATTTGCGATGCAGACTGGAAAGGATCTTGTGGGTGCTAGGTACTTGCAGAACTTACACACTGACGGAGGAAGGGAGAAGGTACCCAGGGCGTCTTTCGACTTCCGTTTGACGCCGGTGGCACTTTGATTTCGACGGCTGGGCTTGGGCTGGGCCAGTGGTGTGGTTGATACGTAGGCGCCGTACCCTGCTCGAGCAAACATCTGGTTCAGAAACTAGACCGGAAGCTCGGCCCCCAGTCGACCTGAATTATAGGCGATTTTTCCCTAATTAGGACGCGCTACTTTTCAAAGACCATGGCTGAAAGATCGGCAGCATTTGAATCCACCTTGTCCAAGAGTGCGAGAGAAGGAAGCAGAGGTACTGCAGGATTCTTTGTCAGCAGGTTCAGTTCTGAGATTGGGATCACTTCCTTTTCTCAGCAGGGTCCGTTCTACAACCGAGGTGCGAACTCAGCCATCCTTGCTCGTGCCACATCTTTGTTTGCAATCGTGCCTTACCCTCTGCCGTTACGTTTCCTAGGCCTACAAGCGCCCGCGCTGCTGCCTCTCCGGTCGGACTGGGCCGTATCACGGTTGTCGGAGTAGGCACTATCTCGTGTAGTTCACTGCAAATACGACGATGGGCTATGTCAGGAACAAATTGGACCGAATCGGTGCCGAATGCGTCGGATATCAATAGGCAGGATCGAGATCGAATCTCTTTTGTATAAAACTCCTCAGCAAGATTAACACAGCTTCTTTCGGGAAAACGACCGTGCTTTCTCGATTCTGCTTGGTTACAATCTGCCTAGACACAGTCGACTCTTTCTGGCGAGAACAGCCGTAGACCCTAGAAGGCCCTAGAATCCTGCCAGCTTCAGGTAGCTAGTACATGCAAATGACTCGACGGGACAACACAGTAGGCCAAGTCCAAAGGAGCCCATCGCAGCAGGCTGTCTCAGATGAGCAAACATCGGAGTTCTCCCAAAAGGACGATGCTCACTGGAATCTTAGGAGTCCTGCGCTTTCGATGAGCGCGCGCGTGTCTCTGGCCAAAAAACCCACAATAGTGTCGTCCTGGACGATGCCAACTTGCTTGAGTGTGAGAGAGTCCTTGTTCAGGGGCGTCTTGCCGAAGAGCAGCGTGGGGCTGAAGGACTCTTTGAGCCGGCTGTTGCTCTGCTCCTCAATGGCTCTCTGCAAAGTTCGGAAAAGAGCGTTTTCAATTGGCAGATTCGGATTTCTTCTTCAGATTCGGAAAAAATAGCCCCGGAAAGCAGTGATTGCCCGTGTTAACAGATTCGGTTTTGATTTAACGAATTCGGAAAGAACAGCCCCAGAAAGCAGAAATCGCCCGTGGTGTACCCCGGCAGTGGCTGTATGCAAGTAGCATTTGACTTCAGTGGTCATCCAGCTGGCACGTTCAGCCAATTGGGTGAAAGCTTCTGGCCGCAAATCGTACTGCTTTCAGGACCGCATATAGCACGCCGTTTTCAGCAGATTCAAACACCGGCTCACCAGCTCAACAAACATCTCATCAGACCTTTCAAGCTCACCAAAAGTTGTCCCTCATGATTACACTTTCATCTTTTTTCAGCTGATTGTAAAATACCAAGCAAGACGATCATGCTGCTCGCGTTTTTCAATGTTCGTAATCGTTGTGGAACGGCTGCAGGCTTCAGAAAAGAGCCAGATGATTGGGCCTACCTTCAGCTGGCTGATGTTTGCGTCTCGTGGCACAACCACTGTGATGTCCTCATACACAGCGGACCGCACCAGCAAGCGCAACGGGAGGGGGGAGATGTCCATCCTCCGCCCTGCAGAACATTGGGAGATCCAGAATTCGATAACTGCAGGTTGCGCAGCGTCCACAAAATGGTTCGTATTAGCTGCGGTCATGATACAGTACGCTGCAGTCAATCTGCGACCATCGCCTTGTGCTTAGATCGCAGTATGAGTTGCGCATGTTGCAGAGGACGGCAAATGCAGAGATATGCACACAACTTGTTATTGGCAGGCTGATCTGGCCTTTTGCAAATATGCTAGATTAAGTTCAAACTGGCATCACAAAATCTTCAAGAGAGTTGGGTGTGACGGTGATTCGCGTACCCTTAACACGATCCAGCTCCTCCCGCCTTGGCCGGGGTCGGGCCCTCCTTATATGCCCTTCCTCTTTCTCTGCGGGGTTTCTCTGCCGCTTGTTGCCTCTGGCGGGAAGAATTGCATGTATCTCTGTTGCGCCGGGCTCTGCGCTGTCCTGAAAAGGGTGGGCTTTTGGCTGGGGAACATCGTGAGCAAGGGGAACCCCTGCCAGGGGACCACTTGGGGGAGAATGCTCCTGATGCCCCTCTTTGGGAAGTGCGTCTGCAAAAGAAGGTGATGATCATCAAATTTATGGCAATGTTGGGAGGCTTCATGATCTCGTGAATAGATGTACCCTATCAAAGTGTAGACGGCAGCTCTACTTGCGTCGTTTGAGTTAAAACTGCTTCCTAGGAACAGCCTGCCAGCTCTGCAGGTGCCTTGGTAGATGCAGATTGGTTAGCAATCTAGTATCAGAGCCTCTGAAGGTTCTGAGGGGGATTCTATTTGGTGGCAAGCCCCAAAGCCATCTCAGGTTGTTCATCACAAGCAACTTCATTGACTTTGTAAACACAAACGAACTGACACTTCCGATACTTGCAAGTTGCTTCTTACCTTCAGTAGGGTTTACGCCTCTTCCATCCTCCTGCTGCTCAGCTCTCTCCTCTCCTACTTCTTCAAGGGGGTCCACAAGATAGTCAAGAGCAGCAGCTTCCTCAGCTGCACTAGCCTTGGGCAGAGCCGGGCCCAGATCCATCTGTTCATAGAAAACAAACACGGTGCTGGTCTCAAAGGCGCAAGTCCTCAATGAAAACTTTTGATCATAAAGTGACTTGTAAAACAGCATTGTATTGTGCGGCCCATTGAACAATGTGCCACGGCACTTTCATGTGTAAACACGCTTCTGTATACTATTTCTTCAGCAGTCGCACTGAGCTATGCCCTCTATGTATTCATGTGTCCTCTTCAATCCGCTGGGAGAACAGGCCTTGGTTGAGTTTTGCTGAGGCTGCTTTCTAAAGGACTGTCTCCTACCTTCTCCTAAACCGCAATGCCCCATCAACGGTGCATTGAACAAAAAGCAATAAACTTTGCGAAAACGTACTAATACAACAGGATGGTAAACGAAGCACCCAGGGTCACTTGCAAGTTGCATTCTGGACACTCACATTACCAGTTCAAACTGAATCCAGCTTTTTGACCTAAAGGAAACCACAACCACTGGTGAGCGGGGAAAGGCCCCATAACAAGCACACTACAAGAAAGATGTCAGGAGCCTGAACTTCAGTCATACTTACCTTGCCAGAAAGCTGTGCAGTTGATCAGCAATTGATTCAGCTTCTTACAACTGCGTGCTACTCAGAAAATCAATGAATACAAAAATCACCCACACTGCTGTCCTCGTATCGCTTCTACCTAGGCCACATGCACAGCTTTTGACCCTAGTAGGTAATTCAGGCTGCATTCGACAGGTGTGGCTGCTGCTTCTTGTTGCAAACCACCTGCATTGGTGCATATCCAGCTCTAGCGCTGGAGAAAACCATCACTTTATAAGTTTGAACAGACTGTGGGAATTTTGAAAAGTGGAGAGGGATGAGGTTTCTCTGCGGCCAGTCACAGTGCGCGCTGCGTCGGGCATGAGCAGGCAGGAGTTGGTGACATCAGCTAAGCTTAAGCTCTGAGAACCCTACGATGGATACAAGTAGAAAAGTTCTTATCATCTGACGGTAGGACGTCGTTCAGATGGTCACGAAGTTTAAAGATTGCATTCCTTGATGATGATGGCCCCGAGAAGCAATTTGAATGCGCATTCAGCAGCTGCACCAGCAGCTATAGCAGCAGGGGCGGTTGATTGCTGGCTCTGCATCAGAAAGGAGCTGGCACAAGACACTGAAGGCGCTGAAAAGCGATGAAGCCAATCCTGGGCAAGCAGTTCTTCACAAATGACTTCAGAAGTTGAGCGGTGGTGAAGAGTTGAAGGCTGATCTAAGTCGGCATTGGTCCTTTCACTGCCCAAAATGCTTCGAGGCAAATCAGGAGAGTAGCAGGACTAGAATCAGATTTGGTGGTGTCTAAAGGTCGCAGGCTTTATCATGGCCCCCACAAAGGATCTACTCAAGGCGGCATACCGGATTGGGGAGAGAGCGAGCAAGCAGGGTTCGAGGCACGTGTTGAAGGGTGGTCGGGATGGATCTACATGCACTACAGCCCAATCGGCACGCAGGCCTAGCAGCAGGCAAGTGCTTCTTGTTGGATCAATGCATTCCACTGATGAGTTGAACCCACTTTGTCGCAGATCCCAGAGATATCGGGGCCTCAATTCTGTTCAATCAATTCGTACATGCCGGTGACGCCCAGAGACGCAGAATGTGTTGCCTGAGCATTGCAAAAAATTGTGACTTTACAGTTGAGCAGGCCCGGCACATTTCATGTTTCCTTACGTCAAAATAAAGTGCTGTAACATGTTCCAGAGAGTTGCGTTGCCAAAACCTGAAAAGTGTTTCAGGCAGGTGGTGTGATCCAATTTTACAGGGTTTCCTCGAGAATTGCTGGAGATGCACTTCGAGCAGGCTCCTCAAATCTGTGCGGCCGTGCAAGCTCGACGAGTTTGACCAGGTAAGAAATTTACCGTGTAGATCCGACACCGAAACAACGTGACAGATCTTTTTGGTTGAGTTTGACTTTGCATAAAGAGGTTGTGGTCGTTAAAGAGCTTCATTGCAAGCTGGTGCGCAAATACTATTTCTTAAATCATTGCACCCTGCATTGTGCGCTCGGCGGAAGTATCAGGCCATTTTGTTTTAGCTTGAGGTATGCACAAATTGCACCTACGAATTACATAGTTTCTCCTTCGTAATATCAGCATTGTGCTAGAGGATGCAGTGTGGAAGGCTCAAATAATGAAATTAGGAGTCTTGTTTCTTGCAGGATGTTAGAGCTGATAGAGGGGCACGGGGTGACCCGTTCTCTGGCTGGGGCACTGGGGGCCACTAGAGGGTTTGCCTCAGAGGGTAAGCTTACCACTCATAATCTAACCCCCAAAGTAGAGCGTTTTTGAAGGTTTGAACTGGCTTTTGCAATGTGTGCTCTTGGCTTCATGCTGCCTCATGGTTTCAAAAGGGCGCACATGTGTTGGCAGAAAAAGGCAGGGTCTGGCGCCTTCCATTTGCTTACGCATTTCAGTCCTACGTGTCAGCTGTGCCTTGACATTCTGAGGCAATGGGACTGTTTCAGAATGATCCCAACAAATCAGAGAGTTTTCATTGCTGAGGACAGGGACGAAAGGAATGTTTAGCTCCTGCAATCTATTTAATTCGTGCGCCAATTCATTACAGCTTGTATCCTCTTGTTGTTACAGGGCTGCCAGTGCACACCGTCCTTTCCATGCCGGCCCTGTCACCAACAATGGTAAGCCCCTCGAGCTTTGCCACCTTCTTCCACCATTCCACTTTTCTCTGTCAAACCAGGCGTCACAGTGTGGACTTCAAAATGGTCACGATCATTATCAGACTCGTTCTTGACAGAATAGGACACGGGATACATTTAAGGGAGTGTCAGAATGAGCCATGAAATTTCATTTCTCTTAGTTGAAATGATTTGTTCAACCTTCAACTTGCGTTGCTGCTTTCTTGAGAGCCTGAATTTCTGGGCTTACGGCCCTTGTGAGGGCTTGCAAGTATCCCAGTACGGCTTTTCAAAGGTACGCTTTTTAAACGGTCGTTTGCCACGATTGATCAACATGCCAGCAACCCCACTACTGCTTTTGACTGCATTTTTCTTTGTTCGTTGGCTCTCTCCAATTGTCCATGTTTTCTCTGTCGCAACCGAACCTTGAGCGAATCTGAATGGTAACAAAGCAAGGAAGATGACAGAGTAGCACTTTCTCAGTCTCCACCCTTCCAAAAACCGAGAGAACGGAAGAAAGGAACAGGATAATACGAAAGAGAAGCGGCTCATCTCTCTGTCTGCAAGAACAAAACAGAGAAAAGACGAGAAAAAGCAGAAAAAGGCTGGGATTGCGATCATGACCAGACTTCGAACCCACCCCCTTTTGCAGGAACAAGGCAACGTGGCTAACTGGCAAAAGAAAGAGGGGGAGTCCATAAGCGCGGGGGACGTCCTCGCAGACATCGAGACTGACAAGGCCACGCTGGCATTCGAGTCCATGGAAGACGGTTTCCTCGCCAAGATTCTCGTTCCATCTGGGGAGAAGAACGTACCGGTAGGGAAGCCGTTGGCAATTGTGGTGGAAGAAGAGGGAGACGTTGCTGCGTTTAAGGATTACCAACCGGACGGAGGAGCCGCGCCGAAGCCAGAGACGAGCGTGCCGGCAAAGGAGGCTCCCAAGGAAGCCCCGAAGAAGAAGCGGAAGAAGAAGGCGGCACCAAAAGCGGCGGCGAAAGGTGCGGGTTTGCGGGTGTTGTTGGACGACTCGGGATGTATTGGGGCTGAGTGTAGCAAGAGTCGCTTTTGATGTATCTCTATGTTGATCTTCTACTCGAGCCGCAGTCGACATCTTGAGGAGGGCGATCGTCTGAGCTTGATTGAGAAAGATACAATGCCTGTGGTCCTCGATTGGCCTTCTCCTTTGGGAAACCGACTACAAGCTTGCCTTCTTTAGCTTTCTAACAGAGAAGGGAAGCTGAAGGCAGCGGTGTCATTGCAGTCCGATGTTTCAACGGCTTGGAGTCAGATTTGCAGTGGGTCAAGGTTTGTACTCAGAACATACCCCTTTCTGCGCTGCAGAGTATCCCCCGCACATCAAGATCGACATGCCAGCTCTCTCTCCAACGATGGTGAGTCAGAGCCTGCCTTGGAGCCTGCTTGTGGGAATTACCTGCGGCGATTTGAAGGATTTTTGACCCCCTTCCGTTCCATCGTCCCTCAGGCTTGAACCAGATTATAGACTAACGAAAACAAAGTCTTTGACCACCCTCACAGGCCCTATATGAGCTCTTTTCGCAAAGGCATCTTATAACTCATTTCTGTATGCTCTCTTGTCTGATCGCTCGGTCAACAACTGCAAGCGTTGGACGGCTTGATATTAGGCATTGGACGGCTTAGAATCGATCGTCGTTGTTGCTAAGGAGCGGAGTGCTGAAGTTCGCAAACAATGACTCCCAGGCAACCGTTGAGTTCTGTCAGCTTAAGCCATACCATGGCTCAAAGTGCTCTATTATGCTCGCTTGTAGACGCAAGGCAACGTTGCATCGTGGTCCAAGAAGGAAGGCGATGAGATCGCAGCAGGCGACGTCATTGCTGAAATCGAGACGGACAAGGCGACAGTCTCGCTGGACTCCCAGGAAGACGGGTGAGCGGGAGATTGTCGGGAGTGCTCAAATCTTTGTGTGCCGGCTTGGCTTGTTGAGGATTCGCGTAAGCGACTTGATGGTAGTTACTTTGTCGAGTCGGAGTGCAAGCTCGTGGCTCGTTCTCATCTAGCGTTTGCATCTTGTCGCCCGTGCTTTGCCAGAGTTTGTAACAACGTTGTCCCTCACTTCGTACGATGAACTCCTTCCCTACATTTGGATATTGCATCATTCTCGGAATGAGGTTGCTGGATATCATTTGCCGCCTTCTGCACCAGACGCATACCTAACTCCCTAGATTGGCTGCATGGAATGAAGTATATGAGCCCAGATTCTTTTCACTCAAAGCTTAGACACGATTTGCGGGTGCAGGTTCCTTGCGAAAATTCTTGTCAAGGACGGCGCAAAGGATGTCCCGGTGGGCACTCTTCTAGCCATTGTGGTAAGTGCGCTCTATTTCCATCCTTGGGTCTTTGCCCTGGCCAGTAGTGCAACGGGGAAAGAGTCACGTTGATTGATGGGCAGACACAGGATAATTTCGGTTGTCAAAATGCTGATGGAACCAATTCAAAAGCAGAAATGGCCGGGATTTGCTGATTGATCGGGCGGTCCTGGTTGGGAAGGGACAGACACTTCCTTGTTGCGAAACTCACGGAGCCTTTTTGATATTGGACCGAGCAGAAGGTCGATTTTGTGCAAGTATCGCCTCGTCTTTGTTCCGGATCTAGTTTCTTCTCTGGTTGTTTGATGCTCAGTAGCAGGGTTTTTCCTCAACGTGCAAACGTTTGAACGGATGGCTTGCTAGACCGTTCGATGCGCCTCCCAAGCACATCTCCTATTAGTGCGCCTCTAACACTGAACCCTGGTCCTATTCTATCTGCAGGTCGAGGACAAAGACACGGTGTCAAAGTTCGCCGACTTTTCCCCCGAAGCTTCCGCCGCCGACGAACCCTCCACCTCCGACGCAGAGGAAGAGGAGTCTCCCGAGCCCTCCGCCAGCCAAGACAAGCCCAAGCCGCCCCCGAAAACCTTCAAACCCTTCACCGGGCGCATCTGGCCGACCGCCCGCAAAATCCTGATTGAGTACGGCGTAGACCCGTGGGAGGTGAAGGGGTCCGGTTTGAACGGGATAATTACGAAGGACGACGCTGTGGCGACCACCAAGGGCATGTCCAAGCCCGAGGAGTCGCCCGAAACGAGCGCTGCGGATGAGGAAGAAGGGGAGGAAGAGCAGGTGAAGGAGACACCAAAGAAGGTGGAAGGGAAGAAGGAAACGGGGAAGAAAGAGGTTGGAGGTGCGAAGCCGGCGGCGGCGGGGGGGCCGCCGAAGAAGAGCGCGGAGCCGATGGCGGGCGGGGAGTTCGAGGACGTGCCCAATTCGCAGATCAGAAAAGTAAGTGGCTGATGTATTTTGGCTGGTGACGATGTTGTCCTTGTATGGAGCGGAATGCCCGCTATTTCTTTGGAGGATGACATGGAAATTTCTGCCTCACCTACAGCGACTGGTTCGTAATGAATGATGGGAAAGTCATCGAACGAAATTGAGTGCGACTGGGACAAGTGTGTCACGTCATTCGGCGCTGTAGCCAAGTTGCTTTAAATGCCGTATGGTGATACAATCCAGTGAGAATCCCGAAGGCCACTTGAGCCAATTCTGTCTGCCTCTGCACCGGTGGGACATGCACAGGCTTTGAGCCCACAGGAGCTGGTCAGCGATGCTGCTTTCCGCCCGGTTGTTTTAGAGCCTCGTAGACATGCTGTCACATGCTTGTATGAGATGGTCGTCGTCTGCCTTCACACGGCTTCTGCCATTTCCTTGCGGCCAAGGCTGTCAAGTCTTGCAGAGTATTTCCAGGTGTCCGCTTTCCATCACCAGTTTCGAAAAAACAACGAACGTCTTTGCCTCCCTGCAGATCATCGCACAGCGCCTGAAAGAGTCAAAATGGGGCACTCCGCACTTCTACCTAAGCGCAGGTGCGTGAGGTTTTTATCTCGTTCTCACCTTGTACCAATTGAAGCTTCACATTTAAACGCAAAAAATCTCGCGTCGAATCCACTTTTGAACGCTGCCTGCTTCCTCTGCTGCTTCCTCTGGGGTGTGCTGCATCCACTCGGGGGGGCTTACAGTCTCTTAGGTTTCAAAGTCAGCTGGCAAAAAATCCAATGATTCGTTGAGACTTCTGAGTACACGCATGTGCAGAGTTGCCAACTTTGACAGACTTTCTTTCCCTTTCTTTGCGCAGATGCCAATCTCGACGCGGTGTTGTCCTTGCGAAAGGAATTGAAAGGTAAGCGGCTTTCACCTCCGTCCCCCACTTCTCCAAGCAACTCGGGGGTGCACCACTATTGGACTCTTCCAGTGTAGTCGACACAACCCTTCATACAACGTCATCAAAACGGAGCGGTACAATTGACTCAAGCTTCTACGATCCTGAATATTCCCACTCGATCAAAGTCTACATGTCCTCAGCGAATTACGGTTACAAGGGGCATACTGGATCCCTCCATATGAAGTTTCTGATTTCTTTTCGGACGCTGCAGAGAAGCACAAGGTGTCTGTGTCCGTGAACGACTTCGTCGTGAGGGCTGTGGCGGTTGCCCTGCAACGAGTTCCCGAGGCGAACGGTAAGCCAGGCCGGTTTTGACTTGGCCCCTTCGAAAGCATGCGTTTTACCATTGTCATTGATTTACTCGCTCGTTGTCGGATCTTCAGTTTCCGCCAAGTCAAGCCTGACGGCTGGCCAAACGCGCGTGAGCACGATTGCATTGCGCTTATACATTCATTCGCTTCCATAGCACCGACGTGCAAACCGAGCCGGCCCAGGAAGGTGGACTGACGGTCGCACGTTTCCATCCCGCATGAAATTTTACCCGCTTATCGGGCTTTGCGAAAAGAAAGGACAGCACCCTTTTCTGCCGTCTTGATGAGCTGGCCATATCGGACCACGCGCTCACAGGTCTGCATGCGGACGTGAGAATAAAAGTTCGTCTTCTTGCAGCATTTTGGGACACGAAGAAGGAGGAGGTGACGTCGAACCCAAGTGTCGACATCTGTGTGGCAGTTGCGACCGATAAGGTGAGAAAATCTTCAGTAGTCAGGCCTTCTTTCAGTGTTGTGCTGCAGACGTGTGAAGAATCTACGACTTTGGAGGAACGAGAGGTGACCATCATCGAATGTGAAGTCGTTTTCAAAGGCCGAGAGTCTTCCAACGTTGGAGAAGCTTCGAGTGTCCTTTCAGTGCCCGGCTCCTAGTAGCCCACTCATGAAGCATGCGGACTGTTGGAAGGGGTTATTGCAATGGTCATGCGCTTATGCGCTATTTTCCAGGTTTCGCCAAAGCCTATCGTAACCCCTCCTCCTCGTAGGGTTTGACGACGCCCAATTTCTTCTCTGTTTGACTTTTCTTTCTCTAAGCATGCAAATCAAATGCTCTGCCCATTAATCCGCAAAAGCAGGCCGTTCCCATAATTAACTTAACCGCCCGTCAAAATTCTCTCCCTATAAGCTCTGATGACGCCCACTTTGAAGCGTGCGGACCTGAAGACGCTGTCCGTCATCTCGTCCTAGATGAAGCAGAATCTGCATTTTTTGACTGGCAAATGCCTGGTTATTTCAGGGGGTGTGAAAACCCGGCCAATCTCCTCCCCTGCAGGGTCTGATGACGCCCATTGTGAAGCATGCGGACCAGAAGACGCTGTCCGAGATCTCGTCGGAAGTGAAGGACCTGGCAGAGCGCGCCCGCTCGGGCAAGCTCAAGCCGGAGGAGTTCCAAGGGGGGTCGTTCAGGTGAGGCCGCGGCCCGATGATGAGCCCCCCAGAACGGAAGGACAGAGTGGCGCAGCATCCTGACGTGCTTCTTCCCTGTGGTAGATTATGAATCAGGGCGGGAATGTTGCAGTTGTCAGGATTGTTTCCGCAGGCCTACAGGTCCCGGCAGGATTCAAAGCTCACCTCAACTTTCAAAGTTTCGTCATTGTTCCGTTTGACTGCCTGAGCGGGTCAAGGAGAATCCGTAACTTTGATAACCGGGGTCGGAATTGCTGCAAGTTTTGATGACGTGGCGGGTTTATGGGCGAAACCCTGGACTAGGCTTCTTTCGACCCATCATGCATCAAGGAGCCCCGGGTCAAAAACTCTAAACCTCGCCACGTCATCCCTCCCAACAGCATCCCCGGCCGGGGGTTCCAAAATGACTCTTCTTGTCCCCACTCTACCTGCAATTGGAAACTGTTCTCCGATCACATATCCTTCGACCAACCATGCTATCAGGAATGACGAATGCACTGCACGTAGGACTGTTAAGGCGTGATCTTGTTCTACCTGTCGGCTCAGTGAAGCAGATCCGCCCTGTGCCTGCGATCATATCATGGACATTAATCAACCGTAGCAGAAAGGCTGCAATAAACGACCGTCTAAACAGACTCGTTCTTTGCAGTATATCCAACTTGGGCATGTATCCCATCGACTACTTCAGCGCCATCATCAACCCGCCGCAGGTGAGCGCTTCTCTCTCTTGACTCTCTTTTCCAGGCCGCCCTGTACAGCTCGCTAGGTTTGCCAGCGATTCGAGAAGGTTTACACTCGGTTGGGCGATCTTAGTTGCTGCAGCATAGGGTTTCTGTAGTTCAACTTAGAATTTCCAGTTTAGTTGCTGAGGATTTGTGTCAAGGCAAAGTGTGTCAGGGCGAAGTGTAGCAGTCGTGAAGTGGTTGGCCCCTGTTCAACCCCGGCTGATCTGGATTACAGACTGTTGGGCAGCTTATTCTTGCTTGCGAGGTCTTTCTTGAAGTCGGAGGTAAGTTCAGTCCCTCCCCTTCGGGTCGACAATGGGGTCACAGAAAAACCTTGGCTTGACGCGACCTTGCTTCCCACATACGTCCAGGCGTGTATCATGGCGGTTGGGAAAGGCAACAAGAAGGTCGTATGGGAGACCAAGGAAGATGGTGAGTGTGTCTCGACGTACATTTGCAAACGTGCTCTCACTTTTGGTGGTCTTTACCAAAGACGACTTTTCGCTACTCTTGCGTCGAGATGGTCAATTGGAAAAGAAAACGGCTGTCTGGTTGGCAATGGCTCAGCCACATGAAGACAGCTCAGAGCCCACTTCGGTTTCTTTTTGGACAGATTTTTCTGTGCAAGCTTTGATATGTCACGCTATCCTTCTAAGGGTCTACTCAACGGCTTCTTTAGTTGAACTTTCGTTTCGCTGGACAGCCTTTGCTTCCGTCTGCGCTTCTGAAGTCCTCACTTCGAGGGTCTGGTTCAGAAAGGCCTACGAACGAACGTTGTTTTTGTTTGTCCGTCCTTCGTTTTCTCCGTTGCGCCGATCCGCGGATCTGTCCTTCCAGCTCGATCGCCCACTTGGTCTCGACCCTTTCTTCTCGCCAACGTTCCCATGCAATGCCTGCAGGCACTGAAAGCCCCGCCGTTGTCACGCAAATGACGGTCACCCTTTCAGCAGACCAGCGGGTCTACGACGGCGAGATCGCGGGTGAGTGCTTCTTCAGACTCCTTGTTTTGAAAATGCACTCTGAAACAGGGAGAGAGCCGAGACGAGGTTTCCAGTCATGTACTATTTTTGTGATGGTTCCTCGGCAAAGTGTCCGTTTGGTGTTGTTTGACGACTTGAGCATCCCTGATTCATTTGCACGTATCAAGGAAAAGCCATGTTGAGCTGCTTGTATCGTCCGACTTGGGACTTGCATGCGTATGTTTGACAATCCTGATCTGCCCCGTGCTAGAAGCACTGATTCCGTCGGCCAGCATGCGTGCGTTAAGGTCTAGTAAGAGCGAAACACCGCTGCACTTGATGTGAGTACTGACATTGTCAATCTTGTTCGTCAACAGGCCGCTTTCTTGCCGAGTTTACGTCTGCCATGAAGGACCCAGCGCAACTATTGCTTTGAAAGTAGAAAGACAACATTCCCTTATCAGCGGCTAGCTTTTGAGCTGCGTATCTGCGCTAAAAGAAGGTGCTCCTATTTGCGACACGCTTCTGCCCCTTATTCGAGTAACGCAGTGGCGGCTGCTTTTCGAGTTTTGCTGCTGCTCTGCTCAAATTGGGCCGGACTTGTTCCGCTCACCATATTTGGACCTGAGAAAGCGTCGTTTGTGACCATTAATTGTCTAAGGAAGCGATCTCCACGGACAGAAGTGTTCAGGAAGCTTTGAGGCGTCCAGACACCTGAATCATGAAGTAAGTCGGGTCTGGCGTACGACCAGCAAATAAACATGAAGTGAGTCTGACATATTGGCAAGCCACGCCTCAAATTTTATTGTGTTTATATTGCATATGCAATATGTTGCATGCACCATGGACTTCCATGGGATCCTCCGGATCAAAATGCAGATCTCTAGTTGGCATGTACAGTGATTGACCTGCATGATTGCTTGAATTATGATATTGTCCGAGCCTGAGGGCCGAGCCCGAGCGGGCTGGGGGGCCTCGTTCATTACCGTGCCTAATCATTGTATAAACTATAATGACCGCGTCCGAGTCGGCTGCTCAGCATGCATGCCAGCATGTCGATCATGCCCCTCCCGGCGCCTAATGGAAAGCTCTAGGTCAGGCGGCGCGGCGGCCCCCATGCAGCCAATTCGCGACTCTATATGATCACCTATCAGGGCGGCCGCTGGCAAGGAGCTAGCCCCCTGGCAATGTTCCGATTGCGGCAAGCCTATTGCCTTCATGCGCGGCGGGCCCGTTCCGGCGGCTACTGTTTTGCATAAAAACAAGAAGCAGCTGAGTCAGAACCCGGGCCACCGTATTGAGCGAAGTCTGTTCACCATCTGCAATCGCTTTGCATATAGGGATAAGACGGGCCGCCAAGCCGCGGGCGGGCCCCTGCAGCCGCCTAGCTGTGTGCGAATTGCATGCATTGATGGAGAGCACAAAAAGCAATCTGCCACGTACCGCGAGAAGATCATATTGACCATGTATTACTCACTGGGCTAATAATATGGCAGACATGAAAAAGCGCTGTTTAGTAGCGATATGAGCCGGCGCTCGAGTCTCCCAATGAAGCAACAGTACATCACCGGCAACGGATACGGAGAGGTGCCAAATGATCACCTTTCAAGAGCAAAAAGTTCAGCGCGAAGTCCCGTGTCGATTTGGGATGGCCGCCTGATACGTTGCAGGGAACGATCGGCGATGTAGTTTTTTCGTTGATCAAACCGGATCACAACAAATGAAATGAATCACAAAGTAAGATTGATAGTGGTTCTCGTTTCCATCATCAGAAGACTTTTGCAAGGCTGATGGCTTATCATTCGAATACAAATGATTAGTAGCCTCATCGCAAGTGGTTATTTGTCCGGTATGAAAAGCAACTCGCACGACCTCACTGGTGCAGCATCTCGATATCTGCGAAAGGAAAGTCCGAAAGATCCCACTGCATTCAACGGTAAAGCAACTGTCGAACAGCGATCGACATCGACTCGACTACAATCGTTTTAGCATGGGCCGAGCTCCTCATTACCGCCGTCAATGGTCTAACTACCGCCACGCTAATCTAGTCCACAGGGGAGATTTCAAGTTTTCCGGTTCCTGGTCTAACTGATAGCAGCCGCTTTGTCGTCCACTTTCTCTGCGGTGTCCGCCCTCTCCTCCGCACTTTCCGCGGTGTTCATCGTCATCCCGAGCTTCCCCGTCGGCGCCGTCGCAGGCTCGCCCGACTTCGCACCATCCGCACTTTTCGTTTTCCCCTCCAACTTATCCGCCGCCGCATCCAACTTGTTTCCCACAACGCTCAGCAAGCGCGAGAGTCCAAACAGCAGATCGCCCAAACCCTGTCCCTTCTCTGCCGCACCGCTGGCCTCCAAATTGGGGATGTCTAGAACTAGACCGAGCAGATTGAGGTGCAGTTCTTTGGCCCTCAGCTTCAATACGGGGCAAGTAGTAGGGAGCGGGGCGTCTTCGTGGAGGGGCGAAAGGAGCGCTTCGTTGGGGGGGAGATTGGGACTTCTGGTCGCCTCCAATTCATTGGCGGCTTCCTGCGAGAAGATATTCGCGGGTTTCAAAGGGCTGCAGATTTTCATGCCCTAAGGAGTCAGAGGACATCAAAGGCTGCTGGAATGGTGTCTTACACCTGCAGGTGCGAAGTGTGATATCCGAAGCTTCACCCAATCAAAGAAAAGTCATGTATCCAGTATGCAAAAAGCGAAGCTGATCAGCTTATCAGTGAACGTTTTGATACTCGCTCCACAGATGAGCAATGAATGTTCAAAGAGTGAGCTCTCAAGAGCGAGCAGGCCCCAATCAAAAGACGAGCCTCAAGAATGTTAACAGATCAGCGGCGGGAATCGATCCCTTGCACCAAAGCAGCAGCCAATCGACAGCAGCCAATCAGCAACACCTAGCACTACTTAGTTGGTCGGTCACAAGTTTCAGATTGTTCCTCCTGTGATTGCATGTCCCGTATGCTTTCAAGGTGGCACCTTCATGGGAAAAATCAAGAACAGCATCACTACCGTAGCCAAGACACGAGCTGCTTTGAGTGACTATCAAACATCACAGATAAGAAGGCCCAAATCTCGCAATTCAATCGTCAAGGCCATTGCGCTGTAATGGAGGACCAGATGAAGAAGTCTCAATCGGTCCATGACAAACTTCTGAGCTTTCTCTCAAATCCGAAACCCCTGGATCCTCAGGAATCTGTTTCCGACCTCTCAAGCTTGACTCCTTGGGTCCTCTTAGTCGAGACATCTTTTCGAATTTCTGAATCCTTTTTCCGCCTACCCACTAAAAGTTTGGCGGCAGTGACAGCAGCACAGAGACCCAAAACAGCGGCCAAGTCAATTCGAGGGAAGCGATGGCCGACCTTCAGTTGAGCGCTCTGCTGGCGAATGTCGCTCACGGGCCCGTCACTTTCATTATTGCCCATCCCTGCAGTTAATTCGGAGCGTCCCTGTGCTATCCAAACTGTCCCGAATGTCTCTCGTGCTAGAAGGCCGCCTTCCCTCTAATCAGAAGTCTTTGGAGAGCAGAAGTCGGATACCTATCTTTCTGAGGATATGTGACGAAGTTTTTAGGGCCTAATTATAATCTTCAGCCTTCAGGGCTGCATGATTGCATGCTAAGGAGATCCGAGTCAGGGCTCGCAAGATCAGTGAATTGCAGCAACAGTACGGTATGTTTCCTTGCTAGGAATACTGTTTTAACAGTACCGCGGCGGCCAGCTTGCGCAGTTGCAAGTATACCGTAGTGGCACGACCCATTCGCACCAAAAATAAATTCGATAGGCCTTGGTGCGTAAAATTTCGGAAATTATTCTGACCTTGGTGCGAAAGAGCGAAATGGAAATAAACCCAAATGAAGCCTGAAATCGCGTAGAAATGGGCTAAAACACTGTAAAATTGCCCTTGTGCGATAAGAAAATATCCCCCCGAAATCAGAAAAGCGAAAAAAATAATTTTCGTAAGAGCTTGGTGCGAATGGGTCGTGCCACTACGGTATGCTTGTTGCATGCATGCATGCAAAGGCAAAACCAATCATGCAGTGATCACACCAGCTAGTGGAACGGCCACTGCGTCAGCTCGCGCATAGCGTATGAAGAAGGCACAGGTGGACATTTCCGAACTCACTGGTCTGGTCCGGGCCGCCGAAGCGGACGGGCAATTGTCTTCAATGATTGGTATCTGCCAATTGGCAATGTTTGCCTGCTCGACATGATGGGGACGTAGTAGCGGCTGCCCGCGGCCTGCCATTGCCCTGAGCCGCGCGGCCGGGTACATGAAGCAGCGCGGCCGGGCGGCTCAGCGGGTTTTACCTATCCGCAAGTTGGACGTACCGGACGTCGTACAACTTCCCACGGGCGCGCAACGGACGTCCGCATCATGAGATGAGAAGTCGAGCGCTGGTGGGCCTCGAGGGATGCCCCGGCCTGGGTTGCTCGTGGAAGGCACATTCACAGTGTCGGCTACCCGTAGAAACTTGCCGTTTCAAGCCCGAGGATCGATTCCAGGGACGAGGCCGAGTTGCATGAAAGCGTTGACAATGCGAACGCCGGAGCATGGCTGCCAGCAGCTAGCGCTAGCAGACCGGGTTAACGATTCGATATCTGGGGTGTTGCTGCAACGGCCGCTTCTGTCGAAGGTGTCACAGATTCAGATCACTGCACTCACTGCACACATGCTCCTTCGAATAGCGCTTCCGTTACCAATTGGTAACGTCCCGTACTGCCCGGTGCAAGTCACCGCCCTTGATCTTTGACGCCCAAAAACGGCCGGGCTACCGGCCCCCCGATCCCTCCTCTTCCGATCTCGGCCTTCGAATAATTAAACTTAAAGCAGCAAATCAGTCATATCATGGCAAACACACGCAGTTGCCAGAGCTTGGCTGGGTCCATACCGCAAAATGGCCAGGCGGCCATGAGGGTAATATTTCTGGTAGCTAGTGCTGCAGGACTGAAATGCACTGATCGAGCAGTATAACAGATATATGCTGGTTCCTTTTAGCTGCATTGCCAAATGATCTGTACATCCATGCAGATCAATCTGCGACCCGCGCGGCCATGCCAGTGACCCGGCTGTGAATCCCCTTCACTAAAGCGCGGCATGCCGAAGATGCAGTGTCTTTGCACTTAATTTGCCCATGGGCCCGTGAGAAGCTGGCCCGTTCAAGACCGCGGCCGACGGCCTCTTGGACGTCTTTTATAGTGGTTGCCGGTGCCGCATCAGTGACGGTGCCATCCCGCGGGCGGCCTGCACAAGCTACCTATGGTGGGTGTCGACGGTATCGACCGCGTCACGGTCCGGTATCAAATCTGATTGACCGGTGTCACGCGTCGCGACAAATGTTGTACGCAGTACTAACGACCGTACTCGGCGGTACTTGAGAATTGGGTCCGAGTTCATGAATGGAAGTTTTTCTGACACGTCGATAAACGGGCAATTGCGTACTAGCCGGAGGTACGGTACCGTCGCGCGAGACTTGAGTCTGCGCGTCCAAATATTGAATTTCATGGTCTTGGTCGGAACTTCCGACTTGTACCGAGCAAGAGTACCGCGGTACCCAGAGTGAAAGAAGAGTGCAGAGATTTGATAAAGGAGTGTAAGAGAAGGCGCTGTTCAAAATCCAACGATGGCGGCCAACTTTGCGCCTCCTATGCTGCTACTTGAGATTTGTCCTGAACAAAACATGATGTTGGAGCTTCCAAGGACACCTAATGACGCCCCCCCAACATTTTTTTTCGCTTGTCAGAGGTTTCTGCATGTTGCATAAGCCTCGTCTTAGTGTGGCATTTTGATGCTTTCGTCAAAGTGTAAAATATTACACTCTTTAACAATTTCATGACACTCACTTACGGCCGAGCAATTTTTTCTGAGTACTCGAATCGTACATGTTTCGGAAGTCCGAGTCACCGTGACGTAAACCGCCGGTACTACTGACAGAATTTGATACCGGGTCCCACATTTTCGTTGCGGTTCGAGTCGGAGTCGACTCGGCCGGAACCCACCGTAGGTAGCTTGTGTGGCCAAAGATTCCGGGCAGCTTTTCAATTTCTGCCGCCGCAATTGGTCAACGCACTTCTTCGGCGTGCATGCTTGCATTAGTAGGTGGCGGCCCGAACTCGGAAGTACATTGCAAGCTTTCATTTTCGAAGTATCCTGCATGATTCTACTCGTTGATGAACTTCTAAAATTCTCATGATTGAAATTGATGCTACAAATTAATTGAAGAGACAAGTAGCTCCGGCTTTATGAGACGGTATGCATTCGTAGTAAAGTGGACGGAGGTCCGCCTTGGCAGATTGCCGAAGGCATATGCCTCACAGGCTATCCGGTTACCACACAGCCGAAGGCAAGTGCATTTTAGTGTCTTGTCTTGGCCCCCTGAGATGGCGCAAAATGTGACTGATTCCCAGATTGCCATCTTGCATACGGGTTGCAGCGCGCATCGACCGAGCAACGATATGGTTCCGTACAAAATACGTCAGTGTCGTGCGGCACCTTGCACAAACAGGGCCCGCTGAAGGGACTCGAGTCCGCGGCCTCAACACGCAATCTACACGGCTTCGAGTAGTCGCTCCTTATCCTTCTCCAGAGGGTCGCCCTCGGGGCCGTCCCACATCTCCCAAAACTCTTTTCGAAGCCACGCCGAGAAGAGGACGGGGCCCAGCGTGGAGGGAACCTGCGGAAATATGCGACGAAAGGTCAGACACGGAAACACACATAATCGATGGCATAAGGGAAACTTCTTAGGTGGCCGTCCGGTGTGGAATCCCGAATTTTCGCCTCGAGAAGCGATGCATTCGTCTGGGCTTGTGAAGGGACTCTAGGAAAATATTCAGTGGACTGCGCAGTTCGCAGGCTCCAGCGACGTCGAGGATAAAGCAGCCTTTGAGACCATTCCTCGCGGTTTCTGGCGACATCAGATTGGCCTAGAGCTTCGTCGTAAGCTGTCCACGCATGACAGAAGACAAGCGCCACCGTCCCACTCAAAGGCGTCGCCAGAACGAATCGACAGAAAGACTCGTGCCGGAAGTCTCAGCAGCTTACTCCGTACTTGCAAGCGCCCCATTTTTTCCAATAACAGCTGAAGGCACGACACCCTCACGGGACATCCAGCCAACACCCGGACACCTTTAGTGGGACTGTTAGCGGCTGAAAGGATCTCGTAAGCACTTGACCAAGAATAAGACGCGCGTTGGGGTTTGAAGGTAACCTGAAAAGCAGGTCAGATCCCTGCTGCGAGCGCCCCTGAGAGACTTGTCGCCTATCCTACTCACGCCCGTAGCTCTTCTAACCGCTTCGTTCACCGCATATTTGTGAGCGTCTCACCGTCCAGATATAGAGCGTGGCTGGGCTGCCACGTGTCGCGAGCGTGGCGCCAGCTTGGATGACACTTATCACGCATAAGAGCGTGCTTGAAAAGCGCATGAGCGGGATTTACGAGCAGCTCACCAGCTACAAGAGCGCGGGCTGGGTTAATCACATCAGCCCCCCAACCCCGACCGCGAGTAACAATACGAAGCCCATCGCCCGCCCCACCAGTAAATAGATACAAACAAGAATAACCAAACTAGATCAACAAAATGCCAATACCAAGCCGCACCTTCAAACCCAAAATGCCGGCGATATGCCAGATGAAAGTGGGGATAAACCAAAAGGCTTACCGGACTCAAAACGCAATCCTTCCATCCGATTCATGATCAAGTAAGCTCCGCAGAGCACCACAGCGTGTTCGTAAAAGCGCCTCACTGAGTATTAAAGGGCCGGCTGGGCTGATCGTGTCAGCACTTCCTCTGCCAGCGGCCGCCACGAGCCCAACTGCATACCCGATCCACTATAAGACATGACTGTTCAGATAACGTGTTTGTATAAGCGCCTCACCAAGTATAAGAGCGCGGGCTGGGCTGATCGCGTCAGCACCCCCGCTGCGAGTGCTGCTACGAGCCCAACCGCGTACCCGACCGACGCCTGCCGGAAGTATCGATGCCGCGGGGCCCCCGCCCGGGGCTCGTCCCGCTCTTTCCGCTTGTCGAAGCTGAGGATCAACGCCAACAGCATGCCCGGAATGGCCTGCGAATACGGAGGTTACGATGACCTCAGCTGACGTCATTTTGGGGGGGGAGTGAAAGATAGACCACGCTTCCATACTGAAAGAAAGAAACAGCCTGGGAGTCCAGGATTCGGTTAACTTTCTTCTTATTTCGACCCTGAGGAGGAGCGCCATCAGCATGCCAGAACTGGCCTGCAAAAATGGAGGGCTCTATGAAGTCAGCTGATGTTATTTTAAGGGGGCGGATCTTTACAAGCAGGACTGCACTTCCGCATCGTGAAGTAGACACCTTGGCACCCCGGAGTTGTTCCGCTCTGTACGCTTGTCAAAGCTGAGGACGTCATCTATCTTATGTCAATCAAGGAGCCAGTGCTCGGGGACTGCACTGGCTCACGTCTTTTCTCACGTCTTTTTGGACTTTAGACACCAAAGAGATCGTTGCCACAATGCCGGCCGAAATTGGCGGATTGTACGAGCCGGCAAATCTGACCATCGTCTAAGCATGGTGCAAGTATGGGCCGCTTCATGAGGAGATCGCTGTCGGTTGGAAGCGAATTATCCCCGTCGACGTGTCAAGTCTGCTTGGACTCACCGTACAGCGTTACGAAGTCAGCAAGGCAGTCATTGGACTCCTTGAGATAGCTTTCCTGCTTGAGAAAGCTCCTATCGTGCTCACAACTCAGAGCACAAGCCGAAGATCTCCTTTCACAATCAAAGGGCTCTGCGTTGGCCATTTTCACATGACGGACAACTTCCCATCCTCAGGCAAAAGGCACAAGATACCAGGAGAAAGACTCCATCTCACAGCTTAGCCTTTCAATACAGGAGCTGAGAAGAACGTTCCCAGCAGAAGCTGGAACTTATCAAAGGTGCAAAAGCGTCTCACCATATCCCCCAGCCCCAGCATCATACAGTCCGGCTGCGCCCCGGCCGCCGTTTGCCCCCCGAACAAGTCCCTCGGAAACACCAGCTTCACCGGCAGGTCCAGTTTCTTCGTCACGGCGGCCGACACGGGAATGTTCAGCGAGTCCGCCACGGTCCGCACAGGATTGTGCGCCTGCTGCGTCGCGACCGCGACCATGACATTGCTCCCGAAGAACTGCTCCGAGAAAAACACCCAGAAGACGTCGTACACGAACAGACACCCGAGGAGCAGCGCGCAGATGCGCACGTTGGGGAGGCGCACGTGGCTGATGAACGCAACGCAGATCGCGGTGCCGAGCGCGTTGTTGAGGAGCCAGTGGCCCGTGACGAGCCAGAGGGTAACTAGGGTGGTGGCGAGAAGGGAGAGCAGGAGCTGGCTGCGGGAGAGCACGCCGCACGGGCAGCGCAGGGCGGTTTGGTCCAGGAGACCGACTTTGGTGAGGAGGTGCGAGACGAGCGGAGCGAGGCAGAAAACGAGGGACGCGCCCGCCGCGACACTAGTGATACCTGGAAGGAGGAACGAGAAGTGTTTAGGAAGAGGGGGCCCAATGAGGAAGTGGGGTTGCTCATTCGTCGTTAGGAGGAATTATTACAACGTGGGCCTTCTTCCTTGTACGGATAGGTTAGAAGGGGGGAGGGCAGTAGAACCCGCTTTTGTGAGGGGGTGCGAGACGAGCGAGGCGAGGCAGAGGACGAGGGAGGCTCCGGCTGCCACACTAGTGATACCTGGGGTTAGGGGAAGCAAAAAGGTGGTCAGAAGGGCGGGGGGGGGTTACAGACCCGCTTTCGTTGTGAGGTGCGACGCGAGTGGGGCAAGGCAGAAAACGAGGAACGCGCCGGCCGCGACAATGGAAACGAGAGATGAGAACAACACGAGAAGTGGCTTGGGTGGAGACTGTGACCTTCCCAGGGGGAAGGGGGGTCGAAGAGTGCATGAATAGGGGGAGGGAAGCTAGAACAAGCTCAGGTGGAGAGGTAAGCAATGGCAGCGACGCTGGTGGTGCCTCTGGGGGGAAGCAAGTGAGTATGTGGATTGAAGTGGGAGGGAGGGAAGACGTGCTGAAAGGTGAGGCGGGGGGGCTGAGACAAGTCGAGGGGAAAAGAGAGTGCACTGGCGTTACTGGAGATGCCTCCGGGGGGGGACTGTAGACTCGATAACAGGGGAGGAAAGGAGTGGGGACATGCTGAAAGAAGGGAAGAAGGAAGATACAATTGCAGAGGCAAAGAAATCAAGACAAGGCGAGGTGAGGAGCGGAAGGGCACTGGCGGCAACATTGAGGATGCTGGGCGGGGGGGGGGGGCATTGTTGTGAGGACAGGCTTCAGCTCAAAGAAGAACCTGCTCAAGGGTTACATGAAGTAAAAGCAGGGGGAGGGAGAAGCAATCTAAGAAGAGACTTTGAAGGTGGAGCACAAGAACAGGCCATATTGTGCGCGAAAACGTGCGATTTGCAGGAAGCTCCTGCTATGCAAACCAACAATTGCTGTTTCCGCCAAGTCGAAGGCCTGCTGCCCGCGCTCTTTCCCCCAATTCAAGCCTGCTGCCATCATCAAACTCTCCTGTTTTGCTGCCTGATGAGAGCGAATACCCTTTTGTGAGAAAAGGAAGCCTGAACAAGGTAAGCACGAAAAGAGGTGCATTACGATGATCTTTGACGGGACAACCCCACAAGAGAGCAATCCCATGCAGCATCAGAGGCACAACCACGTACATGATCAGGAGCCTGCCCTCATTCTACGAATGGTGCCTCACAGGTCGCTGAAATGAACATGTGAATCGCAAACTACAGAAGCTGGCTCAAGGAGGACTGCAGCTGCACTTGTTAGGTTGTCCTGCAGCACTCTGGCGGTCCATCTCCTTCTGCAAGACAATGTCGATCGTAATGTGGCCCAAAAAGCAGCTCACCACATGATCAGCAAGCCGAGCTCAGCTTTTGAAAACCCTCACATGTGATGATCCCGCTGACCTTGGAGAAAAGGTAAAACATGACCAGCAAGCTGCACGAGCTGGCCACCGGAATGAGCAGCGCCTGTCTAGAGTCGAGCGTGATGGACTGCTCCTGCAGATCTTTGTGCCGCTCGGTCTCTCGTGTGTGCAGATACGCTCGCTGCGCTGCCAGGGAGACCACTGTGCAGGCCGTGACCATCAGCAGCACGGCGGCCGGCTCGAGAAGGTAAAGCAGATTGGAAAGGGGCTCCATTGCGTGCTAGAACGGGCGTGCCGGCGCAGGCGCTGCTGAAAGGAAGATGAGGGTCAAACTTGTGCTGCGCCAGACGCAGAATTCAAACTAACTGCTTGACTGAACATCATTCTTTGAAGGTCTGGAGACTGCCGTGTAAAGTACCGAGGCTAAAGCATATCCTTAATCAGGTTTTTGTCAACATGACTTGCCTCTTGGACGTCGATTCTAGCAGCGAGGGACCTGCACAGCTACATAGAGCTGCCGCTAGGACCACATGAAGAAGCGAAGAAAGGGAGCAAAGAAGGGAACGGAACACCTGAATATGCTGCCAGGTTCTGATTCAAAAAGCTCCTGATGAATGGGGCTCGACAGGCTAGATAGCCACTAGCTAGACAACGTACGGAGACAAGCGTGATGCTGACCGTCCATCTTCATGGAGGCGATCACAATCGACGGCACAGAGGAGAGGGACCCCGTGCATTTTGAATGCTTTCCAACCTAGTTCAGTTGAGCAAATCGAGGCCGTCAACGATGAAGAGTCGCTCACATCTGACGGCAAAAACATGCTATGTCGGAAAGCAGGCATATAGAAAACTGCCATGTGGCGCGGTTGTCACGCAACTGTAAGTGTGACTCAAAAGGTGCGCCGCCCACGTCTGCGAGCACATGATGGAGAAAGAAAGATGCCGCCACTGGCACAGCTGATCCCAGCATAGAAATGAGAAAGTGAGCATTTGAGCTCGTCTCTCCAGCTGCAGGGGCTTTCCTTCAGAAGCATTCATAAGGTTTGCTTGAGATTGCTTCGTGGTGTTCTCATTCTCCTCCTCACCCACGCTACTCGATCAATGTGAAGGGGTGCTACCGCATCTTCTGGAAGCCAGTTGCTCCTTCTTCGTCTGCTGAGACTGGTGAACTCTTCAGCTTCAAGCCTATTCCCACCAATTGAATCACGACCAGATTTTCCAAAACATCAACCATGGTGATCAGAGAGGACCGCGCCAAACCTCCGGCTCACACCAGTTTCCAGGCTTCAGCACTGCATGCACTGGGTGGCACCCCCCCCAAGCAGAACAAACCCCTCGAGGAAGCTGGTTCAGAGTCTCCAGCACGCTCAATGGACTTATTCACACCACTGTCCGGTTTGGCTGGCGAGTTGTGCAGGCCACGCACAGTTGGGGGGGCAGCTGGCCCTGCTGATGGGGGGAGTGATGCGGAGGGGGAGAGGGAGGTTGGAATCAAGAGGAAGGGCAGCTACAATCCTGTCAAGAGCAAGAGGGCAAAGGAGGTGTCAGAAGGTGAGATACATTGGGGTTCTTTGGGCCTTCCTTTAGGGTGTGAAGTTCTGCCTCTTCCACATCTCTTCTCCAGTTTCCAAGTTTCTGCTCACGTGTCCAAGCGACTTCGGTTCAGAGTGAGATGCATGAACATCTACTTCTAAGAAAGAAGATTGAAAATCCAGTGTAGTCCGGAACTCAAGTAACTACAAGGAAACACATAATGGAATTATGGAGGAAGGAAACTAAGAACCAAAGCGTCCTTTAAAACCGCCCCCTGAATGGTTGTCTTGCACTTCGCGCTTGTAGCTGCCAGAACTCTCAGCCATGCCTCTTGAGTTTCAGAGATATGAATTGTTGAAGAAGCATACAGAAGATTGAGGAGCTGGCACCTTCTGGTCCCATCAACTGTAGTGATATCGTTTTTCAGAGAGGAGGGACCAAAACAGAGTGCACCGAGAAAGGGGATGAACCTGCGTTGTCAGGCTATTTTTGAAATATTTGATTCTGAATGACTCTTTTAGAAATGCGTCATCGTTGAAGCTGACATCAAAATCATCATCACAGAAAACCATCACAGAGAACAGGCGAAGGCTAGTCAACAAAGGTTCACCGCTGTGATTGCATTGTCTGAGCACTCGACGATCATTCATCAGGACTGATGCATTCGTAGGTGAAATTGCACGGTACCTGGGGATAAGAAGCAAGAGAACCTTCAGGGATGGTTTGGTTGAGAACTGTTCATGAACCTGTTGTAACCTTCATAAACGCGGAGTCAAAGCTTGACCTAGACCGGAACCCCCTTGAAACCAGATCAGAAGGTGGCAGAGGAAAAGGAGCTCAACTGCAAAAACCACAGGCCAATAGGTGAGTCAAGTGCAAATCGTGAGCGCAAAGTCCCGTGATAAAGTATCTAGATTAGACAAGGTTACTGACTGTGCTTCTGGATCCTTTTGCTTGCAGGAAATGAGAGTCAGCCAATATACTTACCAGAGGGGCTGGAGGCAGTCCTGGACGGCGTGCACCAGAATGGAGAGTCCGATTTTGATCCGGTCCAAGCTCTTGCCAGCACACGCCACGAGTTTGGGGAGCATGGCGGAGGTCAGTTGGTTTTGCACAGCAGAGAGGGTTTCTTCACCTGAGAGGTATTTGTGAGGTGCCAGTGTTCCACACTCGCAGCAATGAGAAGCACAACTGGAAAGGCTTGTCAGTTTGTGGCAAGTCATGGTCTTGTGTCCACATTGGGACATTTTTGTCACGACTGGAACAGACTCCTTTGTGAAGCTCTGCTGAATATGTCAACAGTTTTGCTGATGACAATGTAGTGTGTACTCAGAAGCTTGCTATATTTTCCACATGTCGGAGAGGGTTGGCCAGTACTCACATCTTTTGTTGTAACGTTGAGGGCGACGTTCTCGTGGTTTGCTGTTGTGCAGTCAACATGAGCGTTGAGAACTCCACTACGTTCACCGTCATGAAGGTCAGTGCACAAAGCTCAATTGCAGCTTAGACAATCTCTACTTTTCTTGCTTCAGTGCTTGGCTCTTACTCAGGCTTACGTGCTAAATACATTTCTGTTCTGAGCGCTTTGGTTCCAGATAACCTGCGCGATACTTAAGATCTTGGGTAGGTATTGCTCTTTGCATGAGATGAGAACCGAGTTCAACAGAAACATTGATGGTTTATTCCATATCTTGAGCCGGTTGCCATGTAGGGGCCAGTGCTTATTTGAAGGTTGGATCCAGATCTTATGAAGAGGTTATTCTGACGGCAGTTTTTTCGTGTCATGCAGCCTGAAACGATGGAGAAGATTTTCAAGGGCCAGGTGAGTAGAGCTAGACGTACTCCCTTCTTAGGTGGAGCGCGCCATGTATTTTTCTTACAAAGAGTGCGCTGATGTAAAGTGTATGTATGCAGGTGAACTTAAAGGTTGATCATCATCTTCGTAATTAGACAGAGACGTAGTCTTTTATCATGCACAAGCGGCGCACTCGCGGCAGCTGCTGAGATGAGAAGTAGCAGCATAGCTTCTGGGTCCAGATGTGCCAGCTGAAGTGCTCAACTCAGCCCCAGACAATCTTCATTTGATTCATTCGCTGCATCTCGCTGAAGATCATGCCGAGCGATCACTACCATGGATGAATGCGTGCAGACTGAGAAGTAGCCTCTGCTGAGAGGTTCCGCCCTTTCCGGTTCTTGTGCAGCTCGGCCCGGAGAATGGTGGCACCGACGGGTTCTATCTGTACTCGAGGCACTTCAACCCGACTGTCATGGTGTTCAGGTAAGCTGTTCTTTCATTTTCCCGCTCCAGCGGCTCTAGACTGATTAGAAGACTCTAAGAGGAGACAAGAAAACGAAGGAGCTGTTGAGGTTCTACTTGAATCCTCGTTCTTGTGGCTTTGCAGTCCTCTGAAATCTGCCCTCCGAAATGTCTTTTGTCTTTTGGACCGTGAGCCGCAAAGGCAGCTTACTTGAGGCTGCGGACTTTGTCTTCACAACCCTGCGTGATGCCAAAAGGACGGCGATACTCGATCTATCACGATAATCGCACCTGATTTGTTTTCTATATCGGACCACGTGTGCAGCCGCCAGATGGCAGCCATGGAGGGCACCGAGTCGGCGTATTGCACCGCCAGCGGCATGGCGGCGATTGCGTGCAGCGTCCTCCAGGCTGTGAAGACTGGCGAGCACGTTGTGGCCTCCAACCGGTGAGCCCCTGTGATGCGGCCCCGCAGGGGAAGAATGGTCATAGCTTCCGATTTGCTTTGGTGTTTCAGAAACAAGGTGGGTTGATGGCTTCTGAAGAGCAAACCTTCGGGCGGTTCAGAGCTTCGTGCTCTTTGCTGCGCAAAACTCCAAACATTGTCGGAAGCAGAGTCCTCGATCACTTCGGCACCGTGTCAGGGTGTCTTGCATGCATGTCATGTGAAGTGATCCTGCCAGCACATAACCTCGTTGTCTTTCTGCGCCTTTGCTGTAGCTTCAGGCCTCATTGGGCCTTTCCCTCGTCATTAGTCGCAGTCTTGCGGCAGTTGGTCTTCCTTACCACTGCCGTCCAGAGAGTAAAGTCAAACTTCCATTATTGCACCAAATTTGATCTTTGTTTGAGACGCTTACCAACGGTGTCCTTGGCAGATTGTACGGCGGCACCTTCGCCCTCTTCCACGACCTGCTGCCGCGGATGGCGGGCATTCACACCACGTTCGTGGACATCGTGGACACGGGCAAGGTGCGGGAGGCGCTGCACAGCACGGGGTGAGTTACTGGGTTGTGCAACTGTCAGGACTCTGCGTTTCTGAAAGTGTCTTTCGACCGATTTTGGAGAGAAAACGGTCGACGATCCTGGAAAAATATTATGTTGAACATCTTCATCTGTTCAAAGTTTTTCTGACTGGGAATCCGGAGTTGCGGAAGGACCAGAGTCTCACTTCTGAGGGTGATTTAAGCCAAGGTCGGGGTGAGAGCCTTGAATTTGATTTGGCCCATCCGTCCTAGTCCACCTAACCAGAGCTCCGACTCATTGTGATCCGTACCACGCCTCTGAAAGACGGTCTTGTCCATCTATCTTGTCCACCGTCCTTTCATTCGGCTTGATTCACTCGCCTTGCTGTTCTATGACAGGTATCAAAACGTCGTTTCCATCTACTAACTTCCTCCTTCTCCTGTTACGCGTGTCTGCACAATCTTTCATTTTCGTCAGAAGACGAGGTATACGCGTTGTGTCTACAGCTGGGTGGCTTTGACATGGTCTGACACCGCATTTTCATCTTTTTGTGTCTGGGGGGCAATGATGGTCGTATTGAAGAACTGATTGTTGAGCTCAACAAGAGTTTTCGTTTGCGAAGTGTGAGAGCCGTGACTTGGTCAACCTCCAGTCTCAAGCGGACTTCAAAATGGCCGCTTTTAACGTAAGCCCATGCTTCAGTACTTTCCATTCTGCCTGCAAGTTCACTCGCTGTGAACTGCAGCAATCGTGTTCAATCCGCTTCATTTGTCTCCTCTTGTGAACGAGGTCCCAAGAGTAGCCTTGCCACTAGAAGCATGTTTGCAATTCCTGTAGGATTTTGCCCGGTCCTGGTTGTTTTCCGGGACCTCTAGTCCAACACATCTGTCGAGGGCATCTGGTAAGGTCATGATGGACGTGACCTTGGGAGAGCGAGCTCAGTACCGTAAGCTTTGTCCTGCAAAGCCGTGGATCACGTGTGCTTTGCACCAAGAGATAACGCGGCTTGCAAATTGCTTATTTTGATTGGTACGTTAAACTCTTTCTCGGCGGATGTGGAGCTTGAATGTTCCGCTGGACGCTCTCGTAGGCGTTGTTTGCTTGAATCAAGGCCGTAGCAGATAGGGGATGGCACATTAACGTAGCTCATATCTTGGTCCACTAGTAGGCCTTGCCCTATGTTGCCAAGCGTCGCTCTTGACTTAAGTCCTGTCGACTCTCAGGGGAAAATGTTTATGTTCAACTTGTAATCATCCCATATTTGTCAAGTGCATTTTTGTTGACCTGTTACAAGCGACATTGAACGGCTTGCTTGCACGGCGGGCCGAGCTGTGGCAAAGAAGCTGAACAATCACAAGTCGAAGAGCGAAACCAGTACGTAGGTATCTCAGGCGGCCGCTTCTAGGGGGTTATATATTTGCTGGCTGAATGAAAAGCAGAAGTGGCTAGTAGTACCTGGGTATGTTCTCACCAAAGTCGCTCTTGGTCGTTCTGGCAATGATGAGAGAGCTCTGGTTTGAGCTCGCAAGCTCAACCTCCCACTGTCGCTTAGTTGAAGCCAGAGTCTCGGCCATCGCTGTTGTCTCGTTTTCCTGAAACTTCACCAGGTTGTCTTTGCTCGTTCCAAGGCTGTGAAGAGGGTTGCCAAGAAGAACAGAGTCTTGTCTGCTGGGCGAGTACCGTTGGGTGACTTTTGCTAGGTTTGCTTCTGGCTGCTGACTTTTGTGCCGGCCGTTCATGTAGCACCGTAATCTGGTCCTAGGCCAAATATATAGTGCAACACCATGTTGAGGGCATTTGAAATGGCAATGATGGGCTTGCCAGGGAGCCGCTAGCTCAACGGGGCTATGATCGCTTCCGTCTAAAGCCGTGTATTGTTTGTACGCACATGACCATGATACGATGCTGCTGAGGTCTGGTTCGCTTCTGCGTCTTCTAATAGTGTCTTTTTGGCGTTGTCCACTTGATGTTGGTAGAGAATGAAAAGGCGGACGGCTGTGGTCACATCCAGAGATTGTGCAAAAGATCGGGCAATTGCAGAAGGTAATTGTTAATGGTACTTTGTCAATCGACATAACGCAGCCGTCACGCAGCGTTTTGGCACCGTTGCCTAGGATCCAGCTTTTTATTCAGTGGACCTGCTGAACAAAGCGATGCTGTGGTGAACATTTCATTGCAGAGCTGTGCAGGATCTCGGTTTACGGTTTGCTTTCTCTTCAGTACATTTCTTCACTTTCTTCATTGGTGTCCGTTGGTGTCCGTTTTGGGTGTCGAAAGGAATGACGCACTACGAACATCGAGATAATTTTGAAGGCATTTTCTGGTCTTGATCAGGGTCATGACGATCGGAAATGGGATATCAATCTCATTCGTGTTGGCTTTATGTCGTAACCCTTCGATCAGGCTATTGTCTACCAATCTGTGGTCAGTTGTTGCTTTGAAAGTGCTCGAGGTTCGATCATTACGCGCAGGTACCTTCCCTGATTCAGTAACTGATTGATTCTTGATACCAATCAGAGTTTCGTGTCAGTCCCTTGATATTAGTGCAACGCAACATCAAACGTCTTGCTGTGCTTGGGTTGTTTGGATTGAGCGCGGTTGCAATCACTAGGCATTCCGTTCAGACTTTCATTGGCATTTGAGACCTGCTCGCTTTTCCAAACGCCATTTGGCTTGGCGTTTTTTGGAGATGCGTCTACGCATAGGTTCGATCATCTTTTGTGGCGGTGATGGGAGTGTTCTTAAGCTCGCGAGCTCATTGAGCGAATCCGGACTTCAGCAGAGGCCAGAAACAGGGCAGGAGAGTGCACTGTTGGTGTCACAAGCCCCGAAGTACAACAGGCACTCGATTGTTCGCAAGCTATGTTTTCTTGCCCCAACCTTGTTCAAGACAGCCGTGGTCTCTCGATACTTGTTCTCGAGCATTTTAAAAAGCATGCCAACAAACTTGGCAGGAGACACTTTCTGGTGTGTGACTGGATAATTCGGTCAGCCGAAATTGATGCTCAACTTTACTCGCTGAACATCACCTTGAGGGTCTCGAAACCTTAAGGCCATTGGCTCTCAATTGCTTTCAAGCTTTTGTAAGTGACTTTGTACTTTGGTGAGAAAACCAGGATGAGCGAGAGGGTTACTCTACTTCCTAAGGAGGAAGGTCATGTCGACCGCTTGTGATAATTAAGCGGGAGGTTGGTCGTTTACATGTGAAAAGTACCATTCTGCAAACACGTTACGGCAATGAAGAGATGAAATTCGAGCTTCCAAGCTCACCTTCCTCTTGTCTCGTCGACGTTTCCTGACGCCGTTTTCTCCTGACGCCGTTTTCACTCCGATGGTATCTTATTGCTTGACGGTCAAGTCCTCATTCTTTGTGGACAGTGTTTGCTTCGTGCAAGTTCTATTGTTGTCGTGTTACAAGGACACTTCCTAGTCTGGTCACTAGCCTTGATTGAGGATGTTTTGAGAACCTCTTGCTGAGCATTTAAACGGTGACCAGGGCTGTAATGCCTTAAACCTAAAAAATCAGCGACACATCCGAATTCTTTCTACCCGATAAGCAGCCGCTTTTCTCTCTCTCTCTGCCAATCAGCGTGCCAATCACGTCGATTTTCGTCAGCTTTTGCACTTTACCTGCTTACGTCCGAGTGTCTCCAAGGTGTTCCTGCATAATTATCCTCTTTGTTGATATTCCTTGCCACCTGGTTCTATTAAATTTTCAGTGACACCCACCTTTTCTTTGCAGTGCCAAGGTGTTGTTCCTGGAGACGATGTCGAACCCCACGCTAGTGGTGCCGGACCTTCCGGTGCTGGCGGCCATGGCCCACGAGCGCGGCGCAAAGGTAAGGAGCTTTACGTGGTCTTCATTGGTGCTACGGCTTACCGGAAGACTGTGGCCAAAATATTAAGGACTTTCAGGTGGTTCTTACTCGCGCTAAGACTCAGCGGGGTAGTGCGATTATGTTGCATTCAGATTTTGAGACACGTGGACGACAACGGAACGCGTACGGTGCTTTCAACAGAGGGCTATTTTCATGCCATATCGTTCAATCCCCCGAACCGGCATTCCTCTACTGACAGTTCCGAGAGCCAAGGCGGATCTGACGGAGAGTGATGGATTTTCCTCGAGGAATCATGGTCGATCATTGTTCCTAAGCGGTCAGGGAAGCTGCCAACTTTCTTGGCATTTCTTTCTTTTACGTTGAACTGATATACTCTTGGCCAAGCGGCGCTCTTTATATTCCAAACGCAGGCTTTCGTGAGAAGGCCGACACATGTACTTCACCTCCCGTGAATCGCCAGGCTCGTGAAAAAAGAGAGGCGGAGCTGGGGACTCAAAGCTCAAATAAAAGAATGAATAAATTGGAATTCTCAGGTGATCGTTGACAACACTTTCGCCCCCCTGGTGGTGTCGCCCGCCCGCTTCGGCGCTGACGTCGTCATCCACTCGCTCACCAAGTTCATCAGCGGCGGGTCTGACGTCATCGCAGGTGAGGTTCTGCATCTCACCAGCTCAAATCAGCAAACTGTTGATCTGTCAAATCGAAAGTCTTGGGTCAACCTAAGAGGTAACAATCTTTGACCCTGTATTAGAACCCTTCTCTCATGGCTCGGTCAACTTAAAGTACGCTTATCTGACTGGCTCACTAGCTCTTTTGAAAGTCCGCTCATGCTCAGGCCACCTGATTTCAGCCTGATCGACGTGGGTTCGAACAAGGCATATAGGTCGCACGCCAACCGAGTTCACTGTTCGATGCAAGCCGTTCGATCATATATGGACCGAGTAGAGCACGAATTGCAGCTTCAAACAGGACTCTGGGAACCTTTAGATAAAGCTAACAATATGATCTTACTGTGTTACAGGCGTTGTGTGCTCGTCTGCGGCGTTCATTCAGGAGCTGATGGACCTCCACATGGGCACGCTCATGCTGCTCGGGGCGACCATGAACCCGGCCGTCGCCTCACAGGTAAGTTCAAAGCGCTTAAGGTTGACTTTGTCGGACCTCCTGGCGACCGGAGAGAACGGCATACCACTTTCTTGATCGCTTTCTGATCTGACACACTCATGCTGCTGGGAGCGACCATGAATCCGGCCGTCGCCTCGCAGGTAAGTCTCTGGCGCTTAGGGTTGACTTAGTGGGAACGGGCCCTTTCAGGCGACCGTAGGGGCGGCATAGCGTGTTTGGCTTTCTGGCCTGCCACGATCGTGCTGCTCGGGGCGACCATGAACCCGGCCGTCGCCTCGCAGGCAAGTCTGGGGCGGTCTTTGTGAAGAGGGGCCTTTGTTAGCAACCGAAGAGGGCGGCAGAGCATAATTTTGGTCGCTTTCTGACCTGCCACGCTCATGTTTCTTGGGGCGACCATGATCTCGGCTACCGCGTCACAGGGCTGCTTAACTTGCTTTGTAGGCAGGGTCCTTCTCGACGACCGGGAATGGCGGAAAATCGCTTTCGGGGTTGCTTCTGACCTGCCGCGTGCCTGAGTTTCGCGACCGTAGCAGCGCTACTGCTGAATGGAAACGTGCCCACAGATTCTCCGTGGCCCTCTTGAAAGTCGGGCCTGCGTCAGCCTAGGATGTGGGTATCAAATGAAGCTTTTCGGGTTCGGAAAGTCACGCTTCCTTTCCAAGTCGCCGGTCCTGGAACGCGGTTCGCGTCGATGCCATTCCGCAGAAATGGCGGCAGCGAAACGTGTACGGGTATTCTGAGTTTTGCTATTTTCATTCGCCAATCTCGCGCATTCTTCGCACAGTTGTCTGGTCGGCTGCCGCACCTGGCCCTGCGTATGCGCGAGCACTGCCACCGCGCCCAGGTCTTCGCAGGTGAGACTGCCACGTGGCGTCACCCGGTTTATGATGATGTATATTCAAGGGAACACAGATTTCGGGATACTGTCTTGCGTTGTCGAAATTGTCTACGGCGAGAAGCTTCAAAGGCTTGGTCGCTTGTCAGATCAAAAGTGTAGCCCGGGCTAAGTGTTTGCGGGGGTGCCAGAATATTCAGACTTGACGAGTGGATTGTGGATGTGTTTTTGACGTCGTATTTCGAGGCAACCTTGTCTTCAGAGGTGACTTGTCCGAACAAGCAATCCTCCAGGAGCGCGCTCCTTTCTTTCTTCGTATGTATTGTTCCCTCCTCTGGCTTCGATAAGCAAGACTGGCTTATTAACCAGATCTGAGCGCGGCCGTGTCTTGAAACGTGATTATCGAACGGTCTGCTGTTGTGCTGTGCAGAGCGTCTGGCGGACCTGGGGATGCGCGTAGTGTACCCGGGGCTCAAGAGGTGAGCGGCTTCCGCCTTTTCTGTATCGTACGACGCCATGCTGATGTTACAGGATACTTTATGCTACTCATTTCCGCGGTCGTCCGAAGTAGGGCAAGCTTGAAGCTGCTGGCAGAAATTGAGCATTGTGATTGGACTGATGGGTGCGGCTTTGTCAGCTGACGTCAGCATCCAAGGCCGACGGCGTCAGATAGCCGACGTTGTACATCCGGACGGCAGTTTCGCGATTGGCTTCTCATCGTTTTATACCTTCTTTTTCCACTCCCTATGACGCCGGTTATCGAGCGGTGCGCCTCCCAGATGCCCATGCTCGCTTAGCCGCTTCGTGTTCACCTAGGAAATTCGGCAGACAATCCTTCAGATTCTTAACTTCAAAATCCGCATTTATCGTAGCCTCATATTGATGTCTCGTGCTTCTTTCTTCTGCAGCCACTCCCAGCACGAGATCCTGGCCCGGCTGCGCAACCGGGGCTACGGGTGGGGCGGCCTGCTGGGCCTGGACCTGGGCTCGCTGGACGCCGCGAACAAGCTCCTGGACTACCTCCAGAACAACAGCCAGTTCGGCCTCATGGCCGTGTCGCTTGGCTACCATGTAAGCTATCTTCGTTCGTAGTTTTCAATTATTGAAAACTACGAACTACTTTGCTGCGCAAGTCTTCCCGCGCGCTTTCTTCATGCGCCCTTTCCGTGCGTTCAGCCCCGTCTGGCAGCCGAAGAAAGAGACTTTCGAAGTTGACACCATCAGTATATTCCAAAATCAGAAGGCGTTCCACTCGCATCTACGAGATTGACGGTGCCTTTCAAATCCGAGCGTTCAGCTTTTAAAGGTGACTCAAGGCCGGGCTACTTGCGAGGATCTTCACAATCTCTTACGCAAGTCTTCCTCAGATGCGTGGCGTCCGCTGCCAAACTGTTTGCTGGTATGTTACATACGCCGGGCCACTGGCAAGACCTGTGCTCCAGTTGAAACCCTATGCTTCGACAACACGAGTTTCTCGACGTGATCCTCTAGCTATGCCCCCCGGTTGAAGGAGACTGTTGCACATAAAAAAAAGCGTAGCTTTCAAGATTCGTTTCGACGCTGACGGAGATTCCGCTTCTCTCGCATTTGCAGGACACGTTGATGAGTTGCAGTGGCGGCAGCACATCCAGTGAGGTAAGCTCAGTTCTTACTCGCTTGTGATTCATGGCTTTATTGGTAGCCCTGTCAAAAAAGGTTCATCGTTCGATAATCTGCGGTTGTAAAGAAAGAGTGCTATTCTCAGCACGACCTGGGACTGCCCGCACCTTGCCTACTCACGAAGTAGTGATCGCAAGAAGGTAGAAGATCCCAATACCCACAGAACGCGACGTGGTCTGTTGTGCAAACCCGTTCTGTTTTTAGTTATCTGTTATCGTTTCCGCTGTTCCTGGGTTTCTGAACCTTCGTAATCAACCGGCGATGGTGCCAACCCCCCGGCCAATGTCGGGCTACCTTGCAACCCCGCAACTAAGCAATGAGACCGCCTGAAAAGCCTTGCATACAGCATCGAAAGTCTTGTCCGCTTCGATTGTCTGCCGCAAGCGCTCAGCAACTGCTCTTCTGCTTTTGTTTGCATACTGTCGCTGTAACAACCTTACTTTCACCCCTGCTAGGAGCTTGCGCAGTTCCTTTCAAAATCATATACCACCAGAGGCATCCGATGCGAATATCCCCTCGCCGCCCAAGGCCAGCAAGTGGTTGCTTGACGCATTGCTGACGGAATTCCTGCGCAGATTCCGCCTGACGCCCAGGAGGAGGCCGGCCTGTCCCCGGGCTACGTCCGGGTGTCGGTTGGATTTACCGGGGCGCTGGAGCAGCGCTGGGAGCAGCTGCACAAGGCCCTGTTGGACCTGAAGCTCATCCCGGGGCAGTGACCGCCCGGCAGAACGGTTGACCAACTTCGGGTTCACGAGGCCTGTCTTGGTCCGTGCATATGTAAGTACGCTGTATATGCAGGTAGTATATACAACAGGTTCTGTACAAAACGATACTGACCCAGAGAGAGCATAAGGTATATATCTAGGACGTTTAGGAGTCCCTTGGGTGTGAGGCTTCGCCTTCGGCAAAAGGAAGAACAGGATGGACCGCAACGGGTGCTTGGGGTCCGGGAAGAGAAGAGTGACGAGAACCTGTTTTGTCTTGTACATACCTCACCGTCAAGCTGATAGACTTCAATGAAAACTCGGCCGCCCAGAAATCATAGCAACATCTCCGCGATCTTCTTAGGTGAAGCTTGGCCTGTAGAATGGAATTTGTGTTTCATAGTCACTGACGTGCAGGGGACTGAATTAGAATCAACGAGTAGGATAGTGACAGGATGACCTTAGCGCTGCTAAGTATCGCCTCGCTCGCGCTCAAGCCAGACTGGATTGTCATAGCGTTTAGTTGCGTAACACTGCTTTCAAAGATTGCATATGGTGTTAAAACTGTTATAACGGTTCTGCGTGTTTTGTTTATCCCTCGCGCTTCCTCCTTTCGCATCATCAGAAATTACTTTCTCCACATTTTGATTCTGCTCCGAAGCTTTTCTTGTTTTTTATCTCTTAAAGCAGAATTTTGTGGCGGCATATATCGAAACTGAAGGCTGAGTGCATCGGTCCTCCAGTGGATCGACAGTTGAGAATCGTTTGCTTGCTGGGCTGAGTCGTTTCGCGGGCTATTCGACGACTGATGCACACGCCGGACTGGCGTCGGAACAAAAAAAACAAGCTGAAATGACAGCGCAGAGTTTGTCGAGTGAACGCAAGTGAATCAAAATGGAAAGACTTGAGTCAGAATTTTTCTTTTACTCCCTCTTTATCTCCAGAAGGAACCACGGCCATGAGATGCTTGTTACTGGGCTTTCGAGGTCGAGCCCATTAATCGCCTGGAACGGTCGCTCTGACGCCGTCAATCTCGAACTATTCTAGATACATAAGGCTTCAGCGGGAAAGTAACTCCCCTTAAAAACCTGGCAAGAGATGTTCTGTCCGCTGCATGTGAGTCAGGATTCTTGCTCGCATGCATGTGATCATAGTGCCAAGGCATTACACTACCATGAAGTGAACAGGAAAAGAGGGGTGCAGGCAAAGCCTTCAAGATAAAAGGAGAAGCAGCCCATGCAGTCAGGAGCAGCGACGAAACTGGTGGTCTGCAGGCGAGCTGGCTTCAGCACTGTCGACAGAAACTAGGCGACAGTATATTTTATCGCCAAATAACAGACTTTTTGGTATTGTCTGAGAACAATCTTCAGAAAATATCTTTCTATTTTCTGGGGGGGGATTTGTGGTGCCTGAGATGCCCCCAATTGTTGTTCGGTGCCCCAAGCGCTTTTGGGCGTTGGCGCCTTCGGGCGTCGGCGGTTTTGGCCGTCAGCAGTTTCGGCCTTTTTGCGGCTTTGGCCGTAGGGGCTGAAAAGACTTGCCGACAGACAGCATCTGAGGCACCACTGCAAACCTTTTTGCTCTCAACGGATCTCTTTAGTGACATGATCAAACTGGATGCAAACTTTGCTGAAATGCTTGATGGGGATGTCACTTTGGCTCAAATTATAGTATTCCCCGTCTTTCCTCTGCGTGTAGGTGCGGCCGGTTCGCGCTCATTTCACAAAACACAAGTCCTGTGGATTTGAAAACCTGACGTAAAGTGCAAAGGCTGGCTCAGGTGAAGAAATTTTGGATTCGTTGTGTCACACGAGTCCGAATTTCCGGACAGGATCGAACTTCATCCACGCACGCGCTAGCCTAAGACAATGGTCGGCCTTCCATAAGAGTGGCCGGTCAGTATTTTGGCTGCGTCACGCGAACGCCCTTCTGAAGAATCGGAATATCTCAGCGCTTCGTGCCTCCTCGTCACACTCTTTATGTGCTGCTCCTTCGCCGACTTCCGATTGCCGACTTTCTGCCTTGAGAGATTTGTTCGGCTTTCCTCTCGCCGGTCTGGAGCTTTCGAAGGTCGAGTCGTCCTTCATGTATCCTAACACAGGGCGGATCATTCATGCATCTTTTCATCTCCAGCCGATGCTTTTGAGTCCCAGCTAGGTGGCGTGCAAGCACTCTCAGCTTTTGGGTCTGACGTGTGCCATTGCCTGTTCGGGCAGACCATTTAAAGCCATGAATGTGCTGCTCACCAAATGAGTCAACATCGGACGATGTGGCTCAGAAGCTCCCAGACTTCACCCGGCACTGAAGCCGAAATTAGGACGCGAATCAAATGTCAAGTTTAGAAAAGCTTAGAGACTGCCAAGGTCTGTATTGAGTTAACGGGCACATGAACGAAACATCACTACTTTGCTGTACGCGATTAATGAAAGGATCTTATAAGATGAAAAAGTTGCTACGATTCTCTTTCGTTTGACCGCCAGTTCGTTCATCGTGCCTGGATATCACAAATATGCTGTCTGAGGTGCTCTGTGCTTGCGCATCAATCGTCGGACCGTTACAGCCAAGCCAGGCTGATGACGTGGGCACTCGACCTGAGACGGGCTCAGTCAAGCTCGATATTTTCTGAAAGCCAGGCACATGTGGAACAATCAATCGGGAACTTCTTTCATGTCGATCAGTACTCTTGTTCGTGTTGAAAGCGACAGCTACTTTGTGGAGAATAAAAAAGCCTTAACTGCACAATGTACGTAATCAGCTCGTGGCGTTCTGCGGAGCGGAAATGATGACAACGCCCTTCATTTGGGCAGTAAGCCGCTCGAACTTACGGAGCGGTTGTCTTGAAGCCAGCTAACAATACTCGAGCGCGTTCCAACTATTCTTGGACCTATGGTTTGCATGACCAGGTTCTAGTAACTTCAAAGTGAGAGAGAGGTGAAAAAGGAGAAAGCTCTGGTTGTTGATGCAGAAGGAGTCTACGGCAACGGCTGCTTGGGGGGTATCGTTGGCGGCGCTGATACCAATACCTCGAAGACAGAATCTACCTCTATTGAGTTTCCTTCTGGATTTCTGTGATTCCACCCGTTGATTTTAAGAATGCGGGTGGAACATTTTGAGACTGATGCTCCGAGGCCCGTCTTTAAGAGCAGCACAAGGTACAGAGTTCCATTCACAGATGACTCTGTCCGCATCCCCTTCCTGAGTTGCTTAGCGCTACGCAAAGTTCGCGTCCGCTCATTGGTTCATGAAAGGGTCCCGTGGAGTGCAGCAGATGGAAGGACGTGGAATATCAGCGAGCCGGTGCGCTTCAAAGACAGTCATCTGTATGAATCTACGAAGGACTTAAAACTCTTGCTAGGAATTTGGTTGTTGACAGGTACGGTTGCGCTGCGGTTTGGGGCTTCCAAATTTTTTGTGGGTTCCAATCAAGCACTGCCCAGGTTGCCCAGATTTACGTTTCAACCCGCGTTGACGGTCGTTCTTGACGAGATTTCCACCCACGTCGAGCTTTTCTGGACAGCGTAGGGAAAACGAAAAGGGGCTATGATGCAAAACAAATGCTTGATCACCTTGATCAAAAGGGTGCATGTCACTCGAGCCGCCCCATACGACCAGGAACGAGAAGATCGAGGAATAAGCTCGCTGGGTCGCTGGAAGGTCTTTTCATGGGAAAATTAAACCGTTCCGCAATGAATGCTGTTTTGCACTCTAGAATGGATGAAAGTGGGGGGGCAACTCTCCAACGCGCGTGGGCCAAAATCCTGGACTCTTTCAGGCAGGTTTTTGAAACGGAAGTAGACTTGGATCCAGAATTCTTGGCCGCCTAGACCGAGCGCTTGGTTGTTTCAAATGCAATTTTGTCGATGGACACGCATGCATCTTCTCAACGGCAATGACAAGTTTGCTTCCGGTTGGGCTCGTATGCTCAGTAGTCAAAGTGAAGATGCCGTTCAAAGCTGGGGCATTTTCAGACACGCCTCGACCCTTCCGCTCATCCTCCGTGATGTTTCCATTAGTTCTCCTCATTCTGACTTTCGGGGAATGATTGTTGGCAAACACGGTCTGCTATTTCGTGCATCGCACGCTAATGCTTTTGAATCCGCATTACCTGCTGAGTGTCTGTGACTATACAACATTGCATGTTTTTCCTGTCCATGCTGCGGCTATTCGCACATTATCCTCAACAAATCTCGAAAACGCGGCTGTCGATCGGTCACTGAACTCATTCATACGTCTCCGGGGCCCATCTCTCCGACGCTCTCAAATTTGCCGGCCATTGCGTGAGTCTCTTCTTGGGATGGTCGAGGTCGATGCAGGCCCTTTCTGAGAAACGATGGAACCTTTTCTTACCAAAATAAAAATAGGCTGAAGGCTGTCGGGTTCAAACTCGTCATGCCGCTGACCCGCCCACGTACGACAGAATTTTGCGTACTCGAGCGTACCTTCAGTGAAAGCCAATCAGGGCTCCGCGCGAACCGACTAGAGACACGGCCAGAAAAGTTCCTTCTTGACGTTGGATTGTCTTATATTCACATGCTTCCCTTGCCGGCTTTGAAAATGAGAATTATGTCAAGGAGTTTTCGGGACATGTTTCCAGCAGCTCAGCCTTGTGCTAGTCTTTGGCGATGACGTCGTGGGCATTTTATGGCGAAAGAGCCATCGTGAAGCAGTGCACATTAGGAGCCAACTTTCCAGCATAGAAAGACTGTGCTAGGCGTAAAAGCATGAGAGCGCAGTGCACTTATTCGTCGAACGGACACGCGCGTGAGACCTCGGGCTCCCACGATTTGATCGAACCGCAGATCTGAAGCCTAGCAACATGGAACGCAACCGTGAGTTCGGACAAACAGCAAGCAGATACTGCCAAATACTTTGTTCGGTCCCAAGCCGCTGAGACGTTACCATACGGCAACGTTTCTGAAGCACGCGTGTTGCATCGGAAAAGAAAGCAATCACGCAATTTGGCCTGCCTCAAAGAGACTGCAGACATGTGGGCGGGCAGGGATGAGAAAAGTGGCATGAGCGGTCCACTCAGTGAACTTCAGAAGCCCTCTAAGCCGCCATCTCTAGTTTTTGAGCTTCGTGTGACGGTGGGCGCTGCGTACAAAAAGAAGGTCATGCGTCTTCGAAAGGGCAATGCGACCTAAAATCCCACGGAGTCGCCATGCGTGGTTCAATGTCGCCTTCGTTATGACGAAATCGTCAAAAGCGCCAAGTGGGTCCTCTTAGGCCAGTCCTCTTCAGAATGGCCCAATTGCTACAGTATTAGAGTGAAGCGTGAGACCTCGGTCTCACTGGCATGACCAGGATCAATATTATACCCGCATATCTGGCGCCGAGCATGTTGGAATGCGAGCGTGTATTTCAGCCGATACTTAAATCTCCGGCTGAATAGTCACGCTCGCATTCCAACATGCTCGGCGCCAGATAACCAGGAGATCACTGCCGTTCTTGATCGTTTTTGGCTCGTTTATGGTGAGATCAGTTGTGTTCTAGAAGCATTTCTGGAACGAGCCTTCACTTCAGCCGAAAGTTTTGACATGCTCGAAAACTTATAGCAGGTGCGGTTTTAAGAGGGGTAATGAAGGAGGTGCCAGTTTTGGAGCATCAGCTGCTCCCA